ACACTCTCACCTCCATGGCAGTCTCTCATCACCAACTCTATTTTACCAACCTCCTGAATTCTTAGGAGATTGGCGAAGGAATGCATTTGCGACGTTTGATGTCTCTCCTAGCAAATTATCGTGGCAAATTCAGACCAGACAGAATGCTTACACAATGCCCAAGTAGAAAATCCTACAAAACCTGTAAATTCTGTTACTTCCAATAAGGAGATACTGAGATGTCTAGCTGCGTGTCTTCCTTGGAATAGATGTGTTGAAAAGGACATGGACGATGAAATTTCAGACAGACGGGCTCACACACGCCTCCACGCTCTACCCACACCCACGCACTCCCACCCACCCCACCCCCACCCACCCACAACCACTCACCCACATCCATTTGGAGCGTGAAGATCAATTGTTCAATCCTCAACAACCGATTAGTGACTCAGGTTGTGGGGCCCTTCCATTCTGGGACAGCTGCATTTCTGATTGCATTATTTCGAATGATGGCCGCATCAATTTACATGGAGTTAGTTAGCTGAAGTGATGTATGAAAGACACAAACATGTCAGGCCACGCAAGTTGGATGTTCTGCAATTTTTCCCTCAATCTCAACAAAACATGCAAAACACAGTGCATGCAGGAAGAGCTTTCTTCTCAACGCCCTCCTGGGTGACACGAAGGTTTCGTGATGCTCAGTGATGCTCCTTTCTTCCGTCCTTTTGATAAACATGCGACCCTCTAAGTGACCCTCTTTGCAAATCCTTCAGTGGCATTGCTGTATGATCTGTATGCTCTTTACGTTTATTATATAAGTATCATTTAGTCATTTGGTTCTCATTTATATAGTTGAGATCGTGGACACATCCTCGTATTGCATCTGTCAGTGAAGCAAGGGACAGGTTAATGTCAAGCACCCAAATGCACAGGTGTTTTCCATTGGCAGAAAAACGTCACCTGAGACGATGGGCATATGGTTGTGCGAGAATCTGAGGATGTGAATTTAACAGAGGTGCACGCGGTATGCAGTTGTACTGAAGCAGACATTGCTTTAACATGCTTGGACTGATGCAAATTTCAGTCTGGACAAGGTCGGACAAACATGGTTGCAAGTGACGGCTCTGAGGCCGTGCTCAGCAAATTCATAGTCCTTGAATTAACTTTTGAGATACGTGAGCAATCGTGAGCAATCGTGAGCAATCGTGAGCAATCGTGAGCAATGGTGAGCAATCGTGAGCAATCCTGAGCAACTAGAAAGGTGAATTCTTTGACTTTAATCAGTTCATCCTGAGTGTGAGGTTTGGTTGATGGATTCAGAAGGCTTTTTCGGGCCAGGCTGGTCTTTTTTTTGCAAGTGCCCCTTATTTTATAATGAAAGCCCAATATGGGAAGTCCCTTTAGGCCTCCCTCAGCTTTCATTTTTCTCTCCACTGCAGGGGGTGAGTGCAATCTGCGAACCAATCATGTCTCATGACAGCAATGCTGAATTTGGACAGATTTCGAATGAGGCAAGATGATGCAAGCTAGGGAACCGCTAATTTCAGGGTCTCTCTTGTCCTCCCGTGTCCTGCCATGTCTTGCCGCACGATGCCATGCCATGTCCATCGTTTGTTATCTCCGTATCACGATCTGAGCTATTTTGCAAGGCATCGCGGAGAGCTACGATGCCAAGATCTTCACAATAGCAACACTTCTTGGGGGCCACCTCGTGTACCCTGAATGGCAGAGCGCAACCTAATGACTGCTAGCTGAAGAAGACAGATGATAACAAAAGAAAGCACAAGAAACCAGTGGACTATTATTAATATATAACTAAAACATTATATAACGGATTACCATTATCATTGCATGTGTACATATTGTGTGTACATGTATATATATATATATGTATGTATAAGTATGTATGTAAATACTGGTGGTCTGGTAGTTACTGTATATATATATGTGCTCATGACGTCTCATGTTAATGTTTGCTTACCCTGTAACATCTAGGCACGAGGACCCCGTAGGCAGTAGAAATATTTTCAGTTCGATGGATGGTGGAGAGCTGCAAGATGATGCAGCCCAAGTCCCGAGGAAGTATATAGGGGCAATCTTGGGCGTGCTGGCGTGCTGCGTGAGGTGGGGCTGGTGGGCCCCAAGCTGGCGTTCCAAGTAGGGGACGAGCAGCGGCTTTCCGAACAGTTAGCTGAGAGAGCAAAGGTGGCCTATGGGGGTTGGGTGCTCAGGCTTGTGCAAAGCCATGTCAAAGCGGCATGTGACTCCGTGGAGCTGGATGTTAGTTAGGCTAGCCGCTTAGCCGGAAGCGCAGCCACACCTGGAGTACAGTCTATCCAGGATGCCACGGCCTTCTTGGAGAAGAAGAAGGCAGAGGCCGAAGCAGCGTCGAAGGAGGTGCTGCCTGTGGAGATAGCTTTGCCGAAGAGAGGGCAGACCGAGGAGAATTAGGGGTCCTTCAGGAGGAGTTGGCAATGATGGACGCCCCTGTCTTGAAACAGATCGAAGAGACCCAAGCGCCATGGAGGGTGTGGAAGGCCTTGTTAGGCAAGTACAGGGTGGCAAGAGTTTAGAAAGAAGCTGAGGAGATGTGTCGTAGAGGAGGCTGGGAGTGAAGCCCCCTTGAGAGGGAGTGCTTCGCCATGGCAAGAGGTGAAAAGGGCTGCAAACTTGTCCAGTCCGAGAGGCTCAGGCAGAGGATCCTGAAGGCCAGCCCTTCAGACTCCGAGCAATGCGGAGGTTGCTGGAAGAGGTTGTGGAGGAGGCAGTTTGCCCTTGGGGGTCAAACATACACTCCCTACAACCCCAGCCGCTTTCGAGCGCCAAGTGGAATGGGCTTTGAAGGATGATCCCACGGCGGAATGTGCCCTTGCAAAAGCCAATGCCAATTACCCTCAGGAGAGGAGCATGAGGAGCAATTGAGGGGCCATTTGGAGGCGGAGGTGCGAGAGGGTTTGGTTGAAAAGATGGCCCTCCAAGATTTTGAGGAGAAATGCAGGGAGGATAGGGCGATCGCTGCCCTTGCAGTGTTGGTGGAGGATGAGGCGACGGGGAAGAAGAGGGTCATTCATGATGGCTCCCAAGACATCCGCGTCAACCACCGCATCAAGTGCCTTGACAATAGCTTCGCATGCCAGGAGGGAGGGAGAAGAGATACTTGCTTGCGCGCTTCAAGGGTTCCAGAGATGTGGTGGTGTCCCTTATAGGGCCGATTTTGGCATGGCACACAGGAGGTTCAAGTACAGGCGGGACGAGCACGGCTTCCTGGGATGCAATCACGTCGACCCCGTATTGGTGGGGCTTAGCGGGGCTCTGCTTGAGGATCTGCCACTACCTGCTGGGTCCCGGCACCCCAATAGAGCTCCTGTTGTACGCAGATGACTTGGAGGCGATGGGTGTTGGCAGTGAGGGAAGGAAGGCGGCGTTGGGATCAGCGTTGAAGTGGAGCAAGCAGAGGGGCGGGCTTTGCTCAGAGCGGGTCGGACTACAGGTCCTATTCTTTTGGCCTCTCTGCCCGGAGGTCGGAGTGGCTGGTGGCATGGATGAGGAACATTTGTGAGGAGAAGATGGTGGATTTCCGCTTGTTTGCTGCGGGCTTGGGGGAGGCTGGGCTTCGCAGCGACGGGACTTCCCTGGGAGAAACCCTTTTTAGGGCCCGTCTACGTCTGGTCTGCGGCCATTCGGCAGCAAAGCGGAAAGGTCTACGTGCCGTGGGCAATTCTGATCATTCTGGAGTGGATAGCCAGCAGACGGGGCGAATGGAGGAGGTCAGAGTTGGGCCCACGGTGGTCGCTCCTGGGTCATCTATACTGATGCGAGGGCATCTGAAAGCGATGCGTGCATCGGAGGATACCTGGCTGTGAGCGGGGACTTGAAGGAGTGCCATTGGTTCAGTGTTGAAGTTGGCTCCATGGTTGATGTCCGAGGGCGGAAACCCGAAGAGGGTCATAGCAGCATTGGAACTGCTTGCTACTGTGGTGGCCGTGAAGCTTTGGGCTGGCCGCGTAGAAGGCAACCTTAACGAGGATGAAGGACTTCACGGACAACAAGGGCAACACCTTCGCCCTACTCAAAGGGGTGTCGACCAAATACCCTTTGACCATCCTGCTGATGGAGTTGGCAGAAGAGCTCAGATCAAAGGACCTGAGTATGGACCTTGAATGGGTCAGGCGCGATGAGAACACCGTTGTTGATGATCTGAGCAACGGGAAGTACGAGGCCTTCGACCAGTCTTTGAGAGAAGAGGTCAAGGCAGACAAGATGGAGTGAGAGTTTTGTGCGACCTGCAGAAAAGAAGCGGAGAACAACTCTATCAAGTCCCTGAAGCTTCAGGGGAGGAGAGAAGGTGCTCTAAGAAGCATTGCTCCAGAAGGAGCACGAGGGGCAAAGTCCTCAGTAGGTGGTGGGTGACTGAGAAAGGGACTTGCCCCAGTTAGGTGAACATATCCTAACTGTGGGCCGGCACTCACTGACTGAGGGAGGTTGCGTCAAAACAGCACGTGCTAGTGCTCAGGGTTGCGAACGTGCTCATGACGTGTCACCAGTGAGGTGAACATATCCTAACTGTGGGCCGGCACTCACTGACTGAGGGAGGTTGCGTCAAAACAGCATGTGCTAGTGTTCAGGGTTGCGAACATATATATATATATAAATATATATATATATAAATATATATATATATATACGTACTGCTCAGTGCGTTCGTTTTAGTGAAATTGGTCAATGCAGAACAGAAGATGCACTGAGACGGTGACAGTCTTTTAAGGCACCAGGGCTTCAGCCATACACAGCCGTGTCATGTTCAAGCTGCATTTCAATCCCTCGCAAGCGCTCCAGCAATGGGTTCAGCAAAAATCTGTAGCAAAGCGGCCAGCAAGCAACAATACCTATACTCGCGACAACCATGATGCCCGAAATGTTACTGTAAATTCGGTTCCACTTACTTCCAGTGAATTTCATGCTAATAGGGAGCTGTCAAGGGGAGCTAACGTTGCAACAGAGTCGGAATTAGTCCCACCGCCATGTCTGAGCCTCCGAGCAAAAAACAGCGGACCGGAATTGAGGATGCCTCAAAGACACCCGAGGGCTCGCGTGTCCTTGCGGTACTGGGGCTCGGCAATCCCGGTGGCAGCTACAAGCGAGAAAGACACAGCTTGGGAGCTCGTGTGGCAGCTGCCCTGGTCCAGGAACACAAAGCATGCAGTTCACCTGAAAGAAAGGAGAATGAGAATAAGGATCGACTGACAGCCAGCTTTGCTTCCCACTAAAATTATCCAGAAAGGCAGGAATACTGATTTGATGACATTCGGCAAATGAAACACATAGTTCTGTTTCTGTGTTTGGTGTTTGTCTTCATCTTTCGTTCTGATCATGATCTATTCGGCATCACCAACAGCACATGTGGCAGTCCCTGGGGGCAAAGTATTAGTTCTTATAATTTCCCATTTCCTTTTCGATCTTTTCGTTTTTCCTTTCATTCCCGTTCATTCCTTTTCCCTTGTTTTGTTTGGAGTCCCTTCGGGTCAGGATCTGGGTGGTGCAGTGTGGCTTCGTGGGGAAAAGTTTCAGGCCCAGGTGCTTGTTCTGGAGCCGCAACGACCCATCAATGACAACGGCCCACAGCTCCATTCAGCGCCAGGAGCATAGCTTGAGGTTCTTTGCACGCAAAAGCATTTATAGCAGACTGACGCGTTTACAGTTTCAGCTTGAAATGCGCTTCACTTTAGTATAAGACTCGCAGTTACCTTTTTATCAAAGGTGTTGGCGAGTCGCACTAGCGCACAAGCGGCGACCAACACACTCGCAGAGACGCAGACACAGAGACAGAAACAGACATTGATTTATTCACTTGGCCACCTGCAAGCGGAATGCGATGCGTGTGTGTGTGTGTCACACGCAGCAGCACATCACTTTGCACGATGTCATTATTGAAGGAAGTTTAGAAGTCAAACTTCCGACAATATGGACAGATGAAAAGCAGAGGTGGAGCAGAAGAATAGAGAAGAGAAGAGTAGAAGAGAGACCAGAGAAGAGAAAGAGTTATATAGAAGAAAGAAGAGGCAGATGCGCGAAAAGGTAGGAAAGTCGCGAAACACTGTGTTTTTCCAATGATTTGTGGAGGGTCGAAAAGTAGGCTCGCCAAAGCGGCGGGTGCGGAGCCAGCTGGCCAGATGATGAAAAATTGCACACCGTTGTTGCGCGAAGCACATTTCCAAGTCAAAATGTACAAAGCACACCACCCTGAGTCTCGAAAAAGAGTACTTTTACACACCATTCATTTTACGTAAATTTTGGTGATTTACAGTAAATATTTTGTTGCAATGTAAACTTAGGTTGCATGTAAATCTATTTAGGTGTTTTCTAAAATGATTTAGGTGTTGTTTTTAGTATTTTGGTCTATGTTTAAAAAAGTATATTTTTTGTAAAACGGTTAAAAAGTATGTATGTCATGAAAGTGTTTTTCCTTTTTTAATTGTATTTTGTAAATAGGAAACTGAAAATGTGAACAAAAGTTTTTTTACTTGTGTGAACAGCAGTTCCTTTACTTGAGTCATCGTCATTGCTTACTTGCGTCATGTGGAGAGGTTTTTTCCCGTCAGATTTTGGCAGAAGGTGGAAGAAGTGTTTGAATCGGGGGGCTGGCTTTGTTGAAATGGCAGCTTTGGAAGCTGCTGTGCATGCCAAGATGGCGGTGGCATTTGACTTTGACTGCACTGACAGAGGAGAAAATAAGGGAATACTTTACTTGTGGCATCTAGGTTTACTTGTGTCCAAGTTGTTTACTTGAGATGAGGTGATATCAACTGATATGAAAGTGATAGATTCATATATTTCATACTCAATTGGGGGTCTTACCAATTACCTTACAATGCCATAACAAAGTGGAAACAAGTATCTTGTTGTGAACATAGGTTCCATACAGATGAGATTGAAATTGAACAGATGCAAGATTATTTTTTCTGAAAGAAAGTAAAGTTTATATGAAGTTTATGTATACTTTGTATGTAGTTTTGAAAATTTCTCATGAAAATTGTCTTGATGTTCATGAGATATTCAGAAACATGTATGAACTTTATATGAAGTTTCTATGAAGTTTCTATGTAGTTTCTATGTAGTTTCTGTGTTGTTCCTATGTAGTTTCTATGTAGTTTCTATGTCAGATTCTATGTAGTTTATATGCACTTTTCAAAACTACATAAAAACTACATGTAGTTTGACTGAAAGTACATGTACTTTTTATGTAATTTTCAAAACTTCATATAAACTACATATATATAAACCACGTAGAAACTACATATAAACTACATAGAAACTTCATATAAAATTCATAAAAACTACATACAAAATACATGGAAATTTCTTGCACTCTGGATTGAAATCTATGAAAACTTATTGAAACTTTTTAATAATGTGGAACGTAGAGAATTTCCGCAAGGTTCCTCAAATACATACTTCATCTCACGTGCAGATTGTTAGATTTGAGTCATAAAAACAAAAAATCTAATTAAGAAATACAAATGTATATTTGTGGATAGATATGTCATTCTGTTTATCTACTCCATTATTTTCTCTTGAGTCATTTCTTTTCTTTCAGATTCAGATTATATACGTTTCTTCGTTATTTCTAGATATGCAGCCTTGTAGGAAGCAGCTGCCATCAAATTATCTAAAGCAGTTTTCAAAAGGGAAAAAAGGTATCTACTCTTCTGCAAGTCCGAGATGTTGCTGTTAAGTAAGTTGAAGTTTCTTTTCATGACTTTTACTTGCGCAGTTGAGGCACAGATGCCAGAAGATTTTTGGTACTCCTGTGGTTTGTTTTCTTCTTTCCTTGTTTCTTGCTACCTCTGCAGTCTCATCTTGAGATACAACTGTCCCAAGACTAAGAACATTTAAACTCTAAGAGAAACGTGTGGTCTGATGTCATGACATAGAACGCATAAAACAAATCTTGTTCTTTCAATTTTTCAAAAAATAAAAAATATACAAAAACAACCACAAAAAAACAAAAGTACATAACACCAAGACTTGGCCAAACACAAAATTAATTATCTTAAAATCACATATTTAGGTGGAAGGTAAAAGTATTTACTAATTTCATTTGCGTTCCCACAAATTTACAGTAAATCACTGTAAAATAGTAAATCACTAAGATGTGTAAAATTACTCTTTTTCGAGGCTCAGGGCATGCTAGGAGCACTTGTTGAAGTTGAGATGTCGAAGAAGCGCGCGCCGTTGTGGTGCGAAGCACATTTCGAAGTCAAAAATGCAAAAAACTGAGGGGTACGGGACGTTCAGATGTCGTTTCGTGTGGCAGGCGCAAGGGACTGTGCACCTTGTCAAAAGTGAGCAAAACGTGAGGGTTTTGTCGCATTTCCAAAAACGATGGCAGGCGTGGGGCATTTGAAGAGGATCTGCAAAGATGCATTTTCCGTGGCAGGCGCAGTACAAGAGACATGATCATCAGAGATGTTAGGAGGTTTTCCTGAGGTGACAGGCGCAGCACTTCGTACCTGGCCTCACTTTTTCGTGGCAGGCGCCATACTTTAGACAGATGGAGTGGAAAAATTCGAAAACGCATTGGCACGAGGCCGTCAGCTCTGCACTCAACTCTCCATTTTTGAAGGAAGTCTTGCAGAATTGCTTTGAAAATTGAGGAAGTCTCGCAGAATTGTTTCGTTTTTGATGTTGTCAAGTTCAAAAATTGAGGGAAGTCTCGCAGACTTGTTTCGTTTTAGACGTAGTCAAGTTCAAAAATTGAGGGAAGTCTCGCAGACTTGTTTCGTTTTAGACGTTGTCAAGTTCAAAAATTGAGGAAGTCTTGCAAAATAGCTGCGTTTTGAAGATTGCAAATAGACAGATAGATAGAAAGATTAGGTAGATAGACAACTAACTACAACTACGACTACGACTACGACTACAACTACTACAACTACAACCACAGCTACAACAACAACAACTACTACTACTACTACTACTAAATCTACACCTACAATTACAACTACACTACATTACACTTCGCTACGCTACTTACACTGCAGCACACTAGAGCTACAAATATACATGCAACTACAACTACTACACTACATTGCACAACACTACACTACACTAACTACATTACATTACACTACATCTACAACTGCAATTACAATTACAACTACCACTACATTGCACTGCACTACACGACGCTAATTACAATACGCTACAACTACAACTACACTACTTTACACTACACTACACTAGACTACATTACACTAAACCACGCTACAGTACACAACACTACAGTACACTACAATACACTACAAATACACTACACTAATTACACCACACCACAACTACAACTGCAACTTCAACTGCAAATACACTACACTAATAACATCACATTAGAACTACAACTTACAACTACAACTCTACTACACTACACTACAGCTACAACTACAACTGCACTACACCACACTACATCCAACAGTTGTGGTGAGGTGACCACTGCAACCATTGCAACCACTCCATCAGTGGATTCGCTCTGCCATCCGTGATTCACAACAACCAACCTCTCCTATAGGTTTCCTATTTTTGAAACTTCCGCCACCGCCTTGTGCGGTACTACTGGCATCAAACTATCAACAAACAAAACATGCAAAAAAGAGGCTTCGGAGACAACATTGCCAACGCTTTCTTAGCAAATAAAGCTTCGCTGTGTTCCAGTGATTCAAGTACATAGGTTCACAGGCAGATCAAAGTAGCGTAGGGAATCTTATTTGTTTATCCTCGCTTCAGCTTCCTTTGTAGACTGGTGTGGGTTGAGTGTCCGAAAAATGCATTTTTTCCCTTTAAAAAACATGAAATTATGCATATTTGTTTCCTTTCACTTTAATTACAGTGAAATCATTTTGGTTGTTATTTCTATTTAGTCTGTGCCTGGCCACCGGATTTTACAGGTGATTTTTGGATTATCATTTAGGCCCATATATGTTATTCTATATATATACATATATATATATGTATATATATGTATAAATACATACATATATATATATATCTATACATATATATACATATACATATATATATGTATACATATATATATGTATACATACATATGTATATACATATATATATATATTGATTGAACCAGGCTCCTGATTTTACAGGGTTTCTACTGGGATATACAAGTCCCACTGGCATTTTACAGAGGAAATTTGATGATCGGCCGATCAACGCCAATGATGGCTCAAAGATGGCAGGCTGCAACAAATCTAAAACACATGTCATCAGAAGACCAAAACGGATGTTTTGCACAGACACCTTCCACCCGCCCGGCTTCGGACCCCACCAGCGCAAAACATGTTGCAAAGCGAACATGCACCTTAAGAAAATCGGATCAAAAATAATAGTTTAACAATAAAAATGTACGTCCCTGTAACATCGCAATACATTCCCCAAGAAAACGTTCCAGTCGGCCAAACCTATTCAAATTGGTTCCGGTTTTTCAAAGGTTTGGAGTACCTTGGGACCCACAATTTTACAAAGATTCTGGATTTATTGATTTTAGTTTGGATTGCATTTTACAGGGGCCAGAATGGCACTTTTCACCCAAGCAGTTCCCTCAACCGAAGGGATATTTGTTTGTTCTTTCCAGTCAGTCAGGCTCAAAGCAGGTACTTGGCGCCATAACAGCCCCCGGTTTTTGCGCTGATGCGCGATTCCCAAATGCTGTTGAAGTATTGGTTTCGCACACTGAGTATTTTGAAGGTGTCACAAGAATTTGCTGCGGTTCAGGTCTTGTGCATCGTGTCCAAATTATATTGGACATGTTCATTGCATTTTGTGTGTTTCTCAATCACATGTTTCCAGATGGTGGCGCCTTTTGGGTTTCCTTTGCGGTTCTATTGTCAGGTGTTTGACCTTTTCTCCTGATTCGCCCAAAAGAAACTTTAAGAATGGGGTTTTTAGCCGACCCCAACCCCAAACTGATCGTAGCATTGATGCAAGTGCCTTCGCAACTCAAGCGATCATGCATCACCCAACCACTCAACCCTTTCTTTTTGTAGTTGTGTGTTTAAGATCGAATCAAGGTATAACATGCCCCACCCCGTCCGGCAGCATGCGAAGACATCATACAAGCACAGCATAGAACGTAAGAAACTGTGCCAAAAGGGCTAGTAGCCAAACCAATCGGAAAAAATGATATGGTGTAATGTCGATTCGATATATTTCGATATTAGATTATATCAGGCTGACGTAGTTTTCTGTCCTTTGGTTTTCAATTCTTCTCCTACAGCTCAACTCCTCATGCATGCTGTCTCTGCCACAGCACCTTGTCTTACTCTTTCATCTCTTTCGTTTCCTTACATCCCTGCCGAAATGTCTTACTGTATCTCATAGGACTCATAGTCTCGTGACGTCGGGTTGCATAGATCCTGCATCCGAACTAGATGGTGCTGCTCCGAGAGGAAAAATTGTCACTCATTAACGATCGATGTTTAGCGCATCCCAACTTATAGAGTTTTATGTGCGCGGGCTTTTTGAGAGTCTTTGTTTGAATTGTCTGTTCCTCTGTCCTAACAGCTATGGGAGCACCTCACCGGCTCGGCCAGGACACAGTGCAAAACCATGGCATGTCTACACAGCATTTTACTATATTTTACTGCAGTTTAAAAACAGCCGAAAGCTGTTTTTGCTTTGTGATGGCATCGTCGAAAGATGGTCTGGTGAAGCCTGACATTGCAGGCTGTACCTGGTCAGTCCTGTTGTCAATGTTGAAGGACGCATTGCATCATTTGCATCACACTCCTATCTACCGTGCTTCCTAAGGCTTTCGGCATTGAATATTCTTGACAGTCCATTCTTGGCGATAGTCGACGACTGCTGGTACCATGTCCCAAAGCTGAATGCAGCACTGAAACTGTGCATGGCCCATGTATGGCCTGTCCTTTAAGGCTTAGCGGTGAGTTCTTGCTGGTAGGAAGTGGTTAGTGAAATTATGTGAATTTGTTAGTATCTACATATTGCCGCCTGCCTTGGTTTGCGAGTGTTTGCGATGTTTAATGTTGAGGTTGCCTTTGGGCTCAATTCGCTTTAGAGAGAAAGGCTCCAGCGGTGGGCACAAAGGCTTGGAAGGAATCGAGGCGGGCTTTAGCACCCAGTGTTGAGCTGAAAGCAGCTTGAACACAGCGCTTACGGCTGACAAGCATCTTGACATGTCTTGACTATATCTTGACTGCAAAATTCATTAACAAAAATTAGCTGAGATCGACAGCAAGGTCTGGTTTGGAATGTTGCAGTGTGTGAACAGCTGATGCAGCTATCGAATATTGCCCACTCAGTTCAACAACAGGTTTGCATGGGTTTGCATTATGCGCTAGGCTGCCTTTGACTGCAAACAGAACTATCACAGACTGCGATTAGGCGGGCTGAAGAGCACTATTCTCTGTCATTTGGACGAACATTGACGGGGCCGGTGGGTTGCGAGATGTTGCGAGGTCGGTGTACCATGCGATCAGACCACTATATAATAATACAGTATGTCCTTACGTATGCGGGGATAAACATGAATTCACATAATATTTGACCTTACCTCTGGCTTTAGGGTAGGTAATGTGGGGGTACACGAGCAATTGCGCTTGTGGCCTCTGCAGTTGCTTCCCTAGAGTCCTTGCGCTGATCCGGGTGGGCAATCATCTCCCTGGCTTCGTTCCGTGGATCTGCGATCGAGTGCGGCTGATCGAGGCGGACCTCAGGGACGAGTTGCAGAGGAGAGGTGCCCCTGAGATCTTGACTCAGGCAAGTGCCCCATCTATACCAGAGGGGCCACGAAGGGAGGAAGGAGGTGCTGCCACCACCCCTCCTCCCAAAGCGGAAGCTGCCACACCGCCTGCTGCACCTGGTCTACTTCAACTGACACCCAGGGGAGGCCTGCAGAGCCTCTGAAGGAGTTGCATCCAGGGGACCAAGGAACAGTGGCGACACCAAGGAGGAAAAGCCAGACGAGAGCGCCACCAAGCCCAAGAAAGAGCTCACCCCAGAAAGGACCACCGAGCTTGCTTCATCAGCTGCAGGGCCCAGCCGTGAACCTAGGCGTCGCCGCTCTGGAGCTCGGGATCGCTCCAGGGATCGAAGTGCCGGAAAGAGCAAGCGCCGAAGCCGCAGCAGCCGAGTACAAGAGCCGCCACCGTCGTCGACGAGGAGGAGATCATTCCAGGGGAGTCTCCCAGGACCCGTGAACAGGGAGGGCGTGAGAGGAAATCTCGCCCTGAGCACCCCCCAGAACCGCCGGGGCCGCTGTACAGGCGCAGAGAGGCCTCGAGAGCCCTCTCGTCCCCCCCGGGGCCGAGGCTGGATTGGCCCAATCCCCCACCCCCACGAACAAAGGTTTGGTGAAGAGAGCCAAACAGCAGCGCTTCAACGAGCGCAAGAGGAGAAGGCGATAAGGGAGGATGCCTCCCAAAAGGCATGGCGGCTTGAGGAGACCCCTGCCTTGCGGCGACCTGCAGCTGCAGGCGTTGAACCCCCTGACAATGCTGACGGTGGCAAGGAGAAGCCGATGCGCGCACTGTCGCTCCAGGAGCTGCAGCAGATGGGGACGGTTCACATCAAGGAAGCTCGCTACTATGGCAGGGTGGTGCAGGTTGCGGGCAGAATGAGAGGTGCTTTCATTGAGGACGGAGAGATGTACGCAGAGACGCAAGTGACTGGGACCAAGGATGATGAGCTTCTTCAAGTCCCGAGTGGAGCACCAAACAGGCGCCTCAACGTCCATGTCATGGAGAGGCTTGTGACGGCGTGCTCACGGACCCTTTGCTGGTGCATGGGAAGACCGTGGAGGAGATAGATCTCCGGTCCCTTCCCTGGTTCACCAATCTGGAGGCCGTAGAAGGGCCCCGGGATGCCAGGGCACCCGATGAGATGGCGCGCCTGAGGGAGCTTCAGGAGAAGGCCCGTGGAGAGGTTCAAAGAAGATCGTGGTGAGGCTGAAGGGACGTCGGGTAAGACTCCCAAGAAAAAAGAGGAGGAGCTGGAGATAGGCCAGAAGTCTCTGGAGGCGGTGTATGGCCAGACAGGCCTCGACCCTGCACCTGAACCACGGAAGAAGGTGTTGCGTCGGGCAAAGAATTTGAGGAAGGCCAAGAACAAGGAAGAAGAAGAAGAAGAAGTCCAGCTCAGGATCCGAAAGCAGTGGCAGTTCTACTTCGTCTTCATCAGGCGGGTCTTCTGATGATGAGGATTCAGGTATCTTTGGAGAGGACACCAAGCTCATGAAGATCTGGCGGAGATGTCCAGGTGCCCTGATCGCAGGCGCGGTGAGAGAGGCTCGGCAGGGAGAACTGCCTCCGATCTTGACGCAATACGCAGGTTCTGCAGCCGAATGCGGTCTCTCCTGCAATGGCCCAGGAAATCTTGACCCTCGCTCAAGCTGCTGACTTCATGTTGATGGGTAAGATTGCGGCCGCTGCTGATGTGGTCTGTCAGAGGATCAAATCATTGGAGGCAGTCGCAAAAGGCTCCCATTGGAGTACTGGCCGACAGCTTGAGCTTGTCCGTCGCGACCAGTTCGCCATGGCCGAAGGCAGTGAGGCACCTTGGAGCAGCAAAGAGAGCGAGGGAAGAGGAGAAACTCCACAATCTCCTGGGCAGGGGCCCCTCTTCGAAGGGTGGCGATGGGGGCTATGGCGGCAAAAATAGATAAAGGCAAAGCTACTGGAAAAGGGAAGCCGGATGATGGAGGCAAGAATCGAGGAGGAGATCATCGCCCAAACGATGATGGCCGACCATCAGGAAAGAAGTAACAAGAAAAGAGGGGAGAGGATCCTCCCAACGGTGAACTTTTCCAGTAGCAAGAGGAGGATGCCTGGCGATGAGGCTGATGGCACTTGGTGCACATGGGGCGGCTTGAATTTGGTGGCAAATGGTGGCAATAGCAGTGGCAACGTGGCATCAGATGAGTGGCGGCAAGTGGCAAATGGTTTCACCCTTGGCGGCATTGATGAGCTGATCGAAGCGGCTCAATGCGGGGCCAAGGAAGCACAGGGGAGTGGGGCGCGTGCCGTGGGTGCCCCCTCCCAACCTGATGCAAGTGTGAATTCATAGGAGCGACACGGGAGTTGTAGCCCAATAGAGTCTCACTCCCAAGATTTGAAGCAGAGGGTGCGAAGGGCCATAGAGCAGTTCCTTAGAGACCGTGGCTCTAGCTGCGTGGTAGGTGACCTGGGCGATGTGCTATTGGATGTCCTGATGATTCTTGAGAAGGATCATTGTTGCAGACCTCGGACCACGACAGGAGGTAAGTCTATCTTTCCTTTACTTGTCTCAGGGCATCCCATGGTCACCGGGCATGACGCAGGATTTTTACGTCTCCTGGCGGCTTGCCTCAACAGCATATACGGCCTGCCGGGAGCTGACAGAGGCCGTCCGTCTTACGGGCACTGAAAAGGCTGCAAGGGATTCTGGCGTCTTCTGCAATTCTTCGGGAACCCCTGAAAGATGTCAACTTTGCTCAACTTTTTTCAGTTAAGGGGGTGGACTATCAGGGTGAAGAGATCCGTCTGGCCCGTAATGTAGTCTGGGAATGCATCGAAGCCTCCTTACCTGATCGTGTGGGCATGTTGGACCTTAGGGACTTCTGCGAGGGAGGTGTCCTTTATTACATCAACCATTTTGGAAATTACCTTCTTCCAGTACCTGATCAAACTATGGGGAAACCACCTATAGGGTGTTTGTGGATGACTCTGCATGGCCTTCAGTGGTTTCTGGATTGCTGGATAGGGGGATTTGTGTCCGCCGTAAACTGGCTGATCTTCATCATGTTGACGGGAAACCCTTGGTCAATGGCCTCTTTGCGGTGTCGAAGGATGAATTTCGTGGCGCCATTGAATTGTGCAGGTTGATAATGAACCTTAAGCCTGCGAAGCTTTTGACCCGACAACTGGAAGGGGACACGTGCACTTTGCCCATGATTACCCAACTAGCAGCCTTGTACCTGGATGAAGGGGAAATCCTAGCCACATCCTCCGAGGACCTGCGGTGCTACTTCTACTTGTTCGCGGTCCCTGAGGCCTGGCACCGGTATCTGGGGTTTGGGAAAGTTATCCCCTCCTGGCTTATCCCTGAAGACGAACGCTCTGATGATTGGGTGCTTTGTAGTCGGGTTTTACCCATGGGTTTCCTAAATAGCGTTCCTATAGCGCAACACATCCACCGTAACATTGTGAGAAGATGCATGGGAGACTTGAGGCCTCCCAAGGGAGCTGAAGGTGAGCTCAGGCGAGACAGACCTTTCAGCCATCAGCCGGGGAGCTGGATCGAAGGACTTATGATCAAGTCCGATGTACCCAGTGCTAGCCCTGCGTGGAGCCTACTCCAATGCGGGCCTGCCTACTCACCCCAAGAAGACGGTGGAGCAGGAGGCTTGTGCTGAAGTTCAAGGAGCCTGGATAGATGGGGTCCAGGGGACCATGAGTGCCAAGCCCAGCAAAATTGCCAAGTATCCGCGCCTCGGGTTGGAACTCCTGAGAATGGGCATGGCGAGTCAGAAGGAGCTCCACGCGGTGTGTGGTGGCTTGGTCTATGCGGCCATGTTCAAACGACCGCTTCTAGGTGCCTTGAACCAGGTCTGGCAGGCCATAGTGGGGCTTGATGGTCTCCCAAGGAACCAACGGTTCCCCTTGCGAAGGGAGGTTATGGCCGAGATTGCCCGCTTTTTGGGGCTGATCCCGCTGGCTTTCAGCAGTTTTTGTCAGGGATTTGACAGCGCTGTTAGTGCCAGTGATGCTTCTCTTGGGGGCGGAGGCTTCTGCATATCAAGGGGTTTGACGCCCTATGGGGCGCAGCAGCCCTCAGTACGGTGAGGGGGGATGTCCCGACTTCTGCCAGGTGCTGTCAATTGGTCTCTTCGATGGGATCTCCGCCTTGAGGGTGGCGATGGACTTGTTGCAGGCGCCCATGGCAGGCCACATCGCGGTGGAGTCCAATGAGATGGCTCGACGGGTTGTGGAAGCGAACTTCCCGGACTCTCTACAGGTGAATGATGTGCGGGAAGTGGATGAGGACATGGTTCTCCAATGGAGCCTCAGGTATAGTAATGTTGGGTTGGTGCTCATTGGCTCGGGACCCCCTTGTCAAGGGGTCTCAGGACTCAACGCCGACCGGCGGGGAGCTCTGCGGGATGCCAGGAGCAACCTTTTTTCGCACGTTCCAAGGATTGCAGGCTTGTGTAAGGTGAAGTTCCCTTGGGCCCTGGTGAAGACCCTTGCCGAGAACGTGGCGTCTATGGATGCTACGGATTGCCAAGTCATGAATGAGGCCTATGAACTCCGGCCCTGGTATATTGATGCTTCAGGCCTCAGCTTGGCCCATCGTCCTCGCCTATATTGGTGCGACTGGGAGCTTGGTGAAGGTGAAGGCGTCACCATCCTCCGAGGTAGTGACGGAAGGTTGCCGTTGGAAGGGGAGATCATCTTGGACTCCCAAGTGGAGGCGCCAGCCTTTTTGGAGCCTTACCTTGGTGGGAGAGAGGCTGCCGACCTTTACCACTGCCAGACCTTCCCCGGTGCCTATGCGGAAACCGGCTGGGTTGCGTGGGTGCCAAGAACACGAGGTAGCTCGTTGGAAGCAAGATCGGCATCGTTTCCCTCCTTATCAATACAAGGACTTGCAGTGTGTTCAACAACGAGGGGAGTTGAGGACTCCCAATGTGCGAGAGCGTGAAGCCATTCTTGGCTTTCCAGTGGGCTATACGGTGCAATGCATGAAGAAGAGCGACCACAACACCCTTGCCCATGAGGACGCAAGACTTAGCCTCCTTGGCAACTCTTGGAGCGTCGGGGTAGTAGCTTGGCTTTTGAGCCAATTTTTGGTGTGGCTTGGGTTGGTTGAACCGGTGTTGATCGTCTGACGCCGGGAAAGGGCCGGGAGGAGCCCTCCCAAGTCTACTGACACGGCCTCCGTTCAATCATGACACCAAGACCTACCCCTAACCGAGCTCCTGGTGCGCAAACTGGCGGGGCTCACCTCCTTGCGAGGAGAAGACATCCTGGTGCAGAGTAGTTCAGAGATCCCTTTGCGATACCACCGCCTCAGGGGGGAGCCCTGAGCACATCAATGTGCTAGAGGCCAAAGCTACACTGACCACTCTTAGGTGGCGAACAGAGCAGATCCAGCAACAAGATATCCGGATTGTGCATTTGGTTGACAGTCTTGTGGTGATGCACTGCCTCACTAGAGGCAGGTCCTCATCCAAAAAACTACGGCGTACAGTGATGAAAATTGGTGCCCTCCTCCTGGCTACTGGTCTCCAGCCCCTGGGGCTATATGTGGACACACATCAGAACCCAGCGGACCGTCCTTCCCGCTGGGGTGTGAAGAAACGATGGCTAAAAAGAAAGCGCTGAGCAGAGGAGATCAGACCAAGGAGGAGAGGAAGAAGGTCAGAAAATCACTAGGTACTCTAAAGCGTTTGACTGTTCAACCAAAAACCCGAGAACGTTATTCTGGTGCCCTGGGGCGCTTTTTCAACTTTCTTTCACGGGAGGGACTTTCCCTCCCAACAGCCCGGGACTCCATGGATTCTATCGTCAGTGACTACCTGGAGTGGCTCTGGAGCGAAGGTGAAGGGAGATCAGAAGCGAGTAATGCACTTGCTGCCTTGCAAGATGCAGACCCGAAACTCCGTGGGTGTCTCCCAGGGTCTTGGAGGCTCCTGCGTACTTGGAACGCCAATGAGATACCTGAACGAGCTCCACCAATGAGTGAATCAGTTCTTTCTGCTATGGTAGGGTGGGCTATCATGCATGAACACTATATTGCTCTGAGTTTACTGGTGGGGTTTCATGGGTGGCTGCGCGCGGGAGAGCTCCTAGGGATCCAAGCTTGGCAGGTTAACATTACCAGTGCCGCCTCACCAGCGGTTATTAGTTTAGGGCTTACAAAAAACTGAAAAACGGCAAGGGGCCGCAGAAAGTATCACGCTTACTGAGAAGTCAGTACTGCGTTGGTTGTGGCTGTGGATCTCGAAACAGCCGGCCAATCATCATGATTTCCTCACTGCCAAACCTCATGCGTGGCGTGCTCTTTTTCCTGAGTGTTTAGATTGCCTTAAGCTAAGTACTTGGCATTTTAGACGGTACTCGCTACGGCGTGGCGGGGCCACTTACCTTTTTACCAAATGCGGGTCCCTGGATAGAGTTCTGTTGGCTGGTCGCTGGACAGCGGTCAAGACAGCACGAATTTATTTAAACTCAGGACTTGCGATGCTCTCTGACATTCAAATTCCCTCAAAGTTGTTGCTCCCGTTTCACTCTATTTACCTTCAATGGCAGAAGACCGTGCCATCGCTTGAGCATTCTCCTTCCAGTCGAAGGGCTGGGGGACGTGGAATGAGACCAAAGAAATCTAAGTCTGGTCCAAAAAAAAGGGGGGTATGCGCGGTTGCGTGCCTTTTTTGCGTTTTTCTAAAAGGATCCTAATGTGTCGCGGGCTTGGGGATTTCCCCGGTATGGCGGGGCCCTCAAGGGGCACTGGGAGTTTTTTTTCCTCCTGGGAATGGCCGGAAGATAAGCACTGAGCCCTCAAATGGTTGGTTACCATTTCTCTCGGATCCTCGTTTAATTTGTATCGTCAAAAAAGTTGTGAAGTGAGTGTTTAATAATGCATAACAGACATAACTTGATATAACATAACATAACATTACATAATTGTTCTATATTATATATCATCACACGTGCCTTTGACGTCCTTTTGTCGTGTCCTGACCAAGTCTTGGGAGCCTGTCATCCTCGTTGCAGCGGCACTCACAGGCATTGGAGGAAAGAATCTGAAGGCCTGATCCAACCCCGGCAGCCCACCAAGACTGTGCCAATTCTTGATAGCTAGACCCACCAAGGGAGCGTTTGGCTGAACGCTCCTTTTCAGCTTCAATCTCTTGTGTTGATTTATAGGAGAGACTAGAAAGAGAATTCTTCAGTCCTTCAAGGAAGCTTGGGGTTCTTTGAAGACACAATGGGTTTGGGACAGGAGTTTGTGACCGGCACTTTCACAGAGGAGGAGGAGTCTGAGTCACAGATGGGACTGGCTGCTCAAGATATCAATGCAGCGTTTTCTTCAAGGCTGTGCACCGAATAAGCACTAGAGGGTTCTCAGAGTCAGGATAAATATGAACCGAACATGGACCGAACATGGATGTACTGCGGCCCTGGGTCTCTTTTCAAACCTCGGCCAAGGACTTTAATTGAACCAGTGCTGACCGCTGCAGTCTCCGCGGTGGAGGCAAGGCCAATTCCAAGAAGCGCAGAACTCAAAGAGCCTTCCAAGATCTTCCAAGGCCATTTGCAGGAATCTGCCAAGTTTATTCTTTTATGCTCTGTCAGGCATGGCTAAAACTCGGGCCAGAGGCATCTCAAAAGGCCTGATTTGACAGATCGTAGGCAACAATTTTGCTTTGGCGCACCTGGAGAAACATAATGTTTTGTAGCTTCAACAGCGGTCTAGCACTCACGAAGTTGCTAAAGGCACAGGTCGCAGCTAGCTCTCGAAGTCTGCTGCTTTTTCCAGAGCCATTGCTCACGGTTAGATCCCACCCACCTGGCGAGGGGCGTTTGACCCAAGGTGGCGGCCACACGTATATACCTGGCAAGCGAAGCGTGGCAGGTGGCTTCAGTTGCATGAAACTGACACGGGCAGTTGTTTAAAAGAGCCGCGTGTTTCAGGTGGAAAAAAAATCTCCCTCTCTCAGAATCTTCGGCATCAGCGTCCAGTGAACGCTCGGTCAGTCACCATGTTTCGAACTCTCGGGCAGCAGTACTCGCAGTGCTCGTGTTCTTCTACAAGGTGAGCCCGGTTCAAAGTAATGATGGGGCACTCTGGGTCGATGTGCCACACAGAACCATCCAATGTTGGTTGCACCAACACTGTGTCACCAAGCGGGCATGGTGCCTGGTGATTGGCTATCAGGCTTTTCTCAGCCAATCCACTCGCGCCTGCAAGGCTTGGATCACAGCTATCTGCGAAGCCAGCATGATCGCCATCACATTGGCATTGCGCTGCGATTCTTCCAGCTGGTTCGCCACTTCATTGCGGCGGGCAGCCATATCGTAGCTTTGGCACCGAAGACGTCTGACCAGCTCCTCACGCCCAGCTTCGTCTCTTTGGTGACGATCTAAGCGGCCATAGGCTTCATCGATCGCCTGTTGAAGGCGAAGTCGCTCGTATCGAGCACCAAGCCAAGGTCCAAGGAGGAGGCAAAGGAGCATCACCTCCAAAATGGCGAAAATCCAAATTCCGCTCTGTCCATGTTCATGGTCCGGAGCTGCAGGCATTGCTGAGGTCGTAGGCAACCAGGACAGCGCAGCGATGACATACTTTGTCACCTTGGCATTCTTTGGGGTTGCGACATAGGCCTAGACAGGCTCATAGGGCTCGACATGAATGTCGTCATACGCAGGTTCATAGGTCTCTTCATTCAAGTCTTCATCTTCCATCGTATAGAGCTCGGCAGGGTCCTCAGGGATCTGCAGCTCATAGTTTCCATCGTCCATGCTTTCATGTTGAGGTTGGGTAGGTGGAGTGAGAGGTTGAAGGTGAGGTTGATGTTGATTGGATTCCTTCCCTTTTGCAAACTCAGTTCGGCTTGCTTCTCTTTCTGCAGCATCTTTGCGTTTCGCGCTAGTGTAGTAGGGGTCCCACACCAGCTTCTGTCGATGATGTCGAAGTCTGTCGGCCAGCAAGGTTCTGGTAGAACTCTTGGTCAATCCATCAGCGAACTGCTTTTCGCTGCTCATCCATTTCAGAACTCCTCCCAACGCTTGTAGTTGTTCTTTTCCAATTCGTATCTCCAGAGACGTCCTTTTGTCAACGGACGAAGAGCCAGTCAAACCTTCCTTGTTGTAGCTGTCATAGAGGGCTTTTGCATCAGTGGTCATGACGGGCTCGAGGTCAGAGCGTTGGTCAAGGCATTCTTTGAGCTTTGAAGGAGGGCTGAAAGGGCAAATCCTGTATCGGCAAATGAATTCCACCATATCAGCTGCCTGACCAAAGGCTTGAGCTTCAGCGCTCAGACTTGATCTCGCCAATCTGGGGAGCTTGAAGCTGCGCCACTCTATCAAGTGGTAGGAGGTCTCCTCTTCAAAGATCTTCTTGGGCACGATGAAGATCAAGTAAGCACCTTGAGAAGTGGCATCTTCTCGGACTCCATGGGCAGCATCAAACATCGCACAGAGCCTCAGGCCGGCAAGCGAGTCAATGTCCAAGGGCTTGTAGTTGAGCTTGACATCAGAGTTTTGTTTTGCAAAACGCAACAGTTGGTTGGCTTCAATCACAGCTCTCAGTTTTCCGGTTTTCTGTTGGCCACTGATGAGGCTGGCAGAGCATTGTAGGTGTGGTGCAGTCTGCACGGCAGGCCATTGCAGTGAGCCAAGAAGCGCTCGTAGTTGTGACCTGTCATGGTCATTCATTTCATCTTCGGCCACACGGCCTTTGTGTATGGTCACGGGCTTGACCTTCTGGATGTAGTCATGTTGGTTGACCTTCCAGCAGTGGTCAAGCCTTTCAAGTTTGACGCCACAGTACTCCAGGGTCTTCTCATCAGTCTCAAAAGTCCTGAAGTCAAAAGCTTTCTTCAGGGCAGTTTCAGCATCCACATAGGTTTTGGAGTTTGGGTCTCCGGCAGCAAGCATGTCATCAACATGAAGACATAGCATCCCCACAAGTGTTGGGCTTGACTCCTTCTTGAAGTCGTAGAGGCAAAAGCAGCATGGGTCAAGCGCATGTTGTTGCCATCCAAGGCTTTTCAGTCGGCGGACTGCTTCAAGAAACCATCTCCTTGGGGCATCAAGTTGGCCATAAACTGGCTTTCGTAGAAACATCCTTGTGTTGGCAGTGGCACCAAGGATCTGCAAGGCTTCGTTTGAAAGTTTCAGCCACAGCTTGCGTTCTTGAGGTAGGCCTTGAAGAAACCCTGTGCTAACATCTGCAGACCATGCTCGCCATCGTAAGTTGGCAGATACAGAGAGCAGCAGGGATCTTGAAAGCCTGCTTGTGGTTGGAGACGCTGTTTCCAAGTTGCCCATGAATGCGTCCGCATCATTGAAACCACCGACTTGTTGTGCTTTTGCACGAGGGCTGCCATCGGCATTGCGACTCCATTTCACAAGAATCCTGCTGGTAAGTGTTCTCTCTGGGGTGGCTTCTTCTGCAGTGCTAAATTCCCAAACGCCACATTCAAAGAAGCTGCGAAGTTCTTTCACCTTCGCTTGGTGGAACATTTCTCTTTCAGTTTGGTTCAAGTACTTTTCCACCACTTCGCCTTTGTTCTTGGCCATCTTGGTGACATCTCGACGCTGTTGTCGTTGATGTTGGTTCTTGAGGCCTTGGGCGACCTTCTTTGCATTCTGAACGTGGTAGCAGTGGCTGCTGTCGCTGGAAAACATGTTGAGCTCTTTTCTGGTTTCAGCATTGATTTGAAAAACTGTGATACCCTTCCATGTAGATGGCAGTTGATGCTGTCGCAGGTCTTTGTCATGATGCTGAGGGTTTCTGAAATCATCAGTGAAGGTCTTGGCACTGCCGTGACGGTCAAAGTGAATGGTGACCCTGACGTTGTCGAGCTTGTCAAGTGGAACTGGGATATCTGAGCTGCCAGCAGGGTCAAAGAGAGTGCGCCGTTGGTGACAGTGATGTCGAAGGAGGCATCCAGCTTTCAGCTCCCACAAAAGTCACGTACTCGGGCACCTTCACGCAGCTCAAAGTAGCCAGTCTCAGGCTTGAAGCACCAGTCACCAGGCAGTGAATCTTGTTCCATGTCCTCCACGTTGAAAGCTATGTTGGCAGCATCATCATCGCCACGTGCAGGACGATCATATGGAGTAGCTCCATGAGAGCTTTGAGGTTGTGACCTGCGGGGTCCAAAAGACAAAGTTTCTTGGCGATCCACTCGTGATCGTCGTTGCTCAAAAGTCTCTTGTTGTGGAACTTGAAATCTTTCAGCAGTTGCAGGGTCCATGACTTGACCAGCTGCTGGTGTTGGGGGGAAAACTTCTGCTGAGGGCTCCACCTCGTCGTTGTTGTTGATGGGCAACGTTGGAGGTTGAGGTGGCTCAGCCATTGGAGCTGGTGGAGCATCTGGTGGTCCCATAAGTCCAGGGGACGGAGAAAGTCCATCATGTTGTCCCATAAGTCCAGGGGACGAAGGTGATTCTTCTGGCAGTCCCATAAGTCCAGGGGACGGATGATGACCATCATCGGGAGGCTGACCATCATCATGAGGGTCGTCATCAGCAATTGATGGTTCATAGTCATCATCACCTTCAGCTCCATTGTGAAGTTCGGCAAGTCGACGACGTTTGGCCTCAGGCACATAGTCATCGGCCTCGTGGTCGGAAATCATCTCTTCATCTTCATTGCTATCGTCCATGTGTTGACGATTCAAGCGGTTCAAGTCCAGGAACCTTGTCACGCCACGAGACTTGACTTGTCGTAGAACTTCTTTGGGCTCAAGCAGGTTGTCCATAATGTTGTTGGAGATTTGTCGAAAGTCAGGACAGCAATGGTGAGGAGCGAGGAGCGCAACGCAAAAGTTGGGTCTTGTGGCAAATCCAGTAGGTTGAAGCGTTGCCTTGCTCATCGTCCTCATCCATGAGAACCTTGGCTGTTCCTCGCCAGCTGATTTTGACAAGATCTGCTTGTTGAGCATCACGCCAGTAAAAATAAGTCTGACCAACAGCAAGTCGTATGTTGGCGGCGGCATATCTTCTGAGAAGGGCACGGCGAAGTCGATGGTCAGTGTCAGCTTGTTGAAGGGCTGACTTGGCTGCATTGCGACGCATCAAGGCATCTTCAAAGGAATGGCCTCCGGCTAAGTGCACAGGGGTGATCTGGTCTGAAGTCAAAAGTCCATTGACCTGTGGTTGATACCCCAAAAGCCATTGTGAAGGGCTGTAGCCGGAAACTGTGGGTTGAGGATTTTGTTGAGGCACTATGCAGGTCAAGGCAGACCTGATTCCATCAGCTCCATGAAGTTGTAGATCTTGCATATAGACCTCAATGCTCTTCCGTAGAACTGCATGTCGCCGTTCCACAAGACTCGGTCGTGTGTGAGCTCCAGGAGCAACATCATGATGAATCGAGTGCTCATCAGTCCAAATGGCCATTGGGTCAGAAAGCCGTCCCCTGCCTTCATCGGTGACAAGGGTTTCAGGTGGCCCAAAGTGGGCAATCCAGCATCTTTCCAAACCAGCTATCAAGTTGGAGGTTTTCTCGTCAGGCACCAAGGTTGCAGTCTGGTACTTGGTGGCAGAGTCAACGCATGAAAGAACCGCAAACTTTTTGTCACCATCTTTGATCCAAAAGACATCAGCTTGAAGTCGTTGCTTGAAGTGGTCGCTTTTGGCCAAAGTAGATGGTGCAGTTTGATTTGGTTTCTTGTAGCGCTGACAGGCTGAGCAAACATAGGAACCAGCAACTTGAACATCAGGGCTTGCACCTCTGGAGCTCAAAAGTTCAACCGAAGATGCCGTTGAAGGATGTCCAAGGTTTCTGTGAAGCCTCTGCACAACTCGAAGGGCTGCTGACTTGCCTTCGACATGGAGTTCCACGAGCTTGCCAACGTGCTCGGTGATCTCTTGCACGGGTAGCCATGTTCCCAGTTGTGTGGGGCTTCAGGTGTTGCCATAGCTGCCGCAAGAGTTGATGCCATAGCGGGCTGGTAGTTCTCCATGTAGGTTGTGCGATGCACTTGAAATCCACGAAGTGAGCCTTCAAGACGGCAATGTTCATGATCTCCAGGGCATTGTCGATTCATGGCTTGGGCCACGGCCAGCTTCGTCGTCAAAAGAGTTATGTCTTTTCGGACTGGCAGCCATTGCTCGTCGTCGTTCTTGCACATAGCACCATACTGGCATTGGCTGAACTTGGCACGGTGACCTGGCAAAGTTGACAATGCGCTGGTGCGCCATGACAAAGCCGGTGTTGGCTGTTCCAAGTGCATGTCGGCCTTCGTGGACCTGCTTCACGTAGATTCGTCTGCAAAAACGCAGATGAACTCTGTGGTGCCAATCTCGTAGTTGTTGAAGTTGTTCTTGACGCTGCGGCGTCTTGGCATTGATGTTTTGCATTGGAGACCAAGGTCCACAAGTGGGCGATAAAAACACTTCTTCTGGTTGGTGTTCATCCAGCAGTTTCATGCACTCGTGCTGGTGGGACTTGTAGGAGAAGTCCCAATCATTGTTGAGGCCGAAGTGCTGTGCATCCATGCCCAAGGAGGTGGCAATCTTGGTCATACGGCTTTCGCCACAGTAGACCTCCCACAGTTGCCTCGGTTGACGTAAGTCCATGTTGCGCAAGGTCTGTGAGATGTAGGCTTCTGCTGCATTGAGTTGGGCCAGCACTGAGGTGTCAAGGGACTTCAGCTGCTTGGTCTTGAGGACGCTGGAGCCTTCAGGAATGACTGCATCATCAGTCACATGTCTCTTCAGGCTCCTTGAACTCGTCGAGGTTGTAGTTGGGGCCCTTCTCATCTTCAAGCACACAGTCAAACTCAGGGTAGTTGATGTCGATGGAAGGGTCGTAGTCCTCGGTCAAGGGCAGCAGGTATTCCATGTGTCTTCCCAAGGTTGCAGCATGCCATTCACCGTCGTTGTAGCGCAAGCGGTCGTTGAGGAAGTCCGCAGTCAGTCCAAGTGCTTTGGCAATAGGGCGCCCAAGCAACATATATAGGTGTTTCGCCTCGAAGTACAAAGGCTTGCACCAGACCAAACTTGTTGTTGATGTAGATCGGCAAGTGGACTGTCCAGTTGCTGACAGCCTTGTGATCGCCGCCAAAGTGAAAGGTGCGATCTGTCTTCTTGAACTTGATCTGGTTGATCGGAAATCCAAGCTTGCCCAAGTGCTCGAGGTACCTGGTCAGAGGAGGAAGGACGAAGCTCCAGGATCCATCATCGCGCAGTCAGTTCTTTCAGCACCTGTGGAATCTTCAAACATCACCATGCCGCCTTCAAGTTGGAAGGCCATGCTCTCCACAGCTTGGCGTTTTGCATTGCCAGCTGGTGCTGACTTTGGAGTTGCTTTGGAACCCTGAGTGCAGTTGGCCGTCTTATGAGACGAGGATCCACATCGCAGGCAAGGAGCATTCAGAGCAGCTTGGGCACGTCCTCGAGGGTCAGGAGTTTTCATAGGTGGCCTGGGTGGCCTGTAGTTGTTCTTGCCCTTTCCTTTTGCTTTTCCTTTCTTGCCCTTGCCCTTCATGTTGGACTGCATAGGCATCTGAGTTGGTGACGTACTCGTAGAGGAGGCTGAAGGGTCCAAGGCGACCACAGGGAGAAATCCACGGGCCATTCTCAAGTCGTTGAATCTCTTCCGGGCATCAAGGTATGAGGCATAGCAGGAGTCGTACTCGGCGACGTCGAACTCATAGTCCAGCACAGGGTCATTGTTGCCAGCATCGTCCCCGTAGTACGCGGCGTCATAGTCAAACTCATAGTCCTGCCAGTCGGTGTCGTTCTCGTCATACTCATAGTACCCATAGTCATCTTCATCCCAATCAGCCCAGTCATCAGCGACGGACTCCACAGTCTCATCATCAGCGCAGTAACCACGACCTTTTCCAGATGGTCGTAGCGACCAGCGGGAGTTGGGAGTTCCATGGCCACTTTTGTAGTCCTGTCCCAAGATGGCAAACATCGCCTCTTGGATCTTGTTCCTCTTCAGCGTGTTGGCCTGGGTCATCACCATTTGTTTCTGTTCTCGGCTAAGATTAGCACGGTTGAGCAAGTACCAACCTTGAACTTCAGGAAGAAGGACAACCTTGTGCTCCGTCACGAACTGAAGCAAGGATTGGCCAAGGCATCGGCCTGCAGAGTCAAAGTAGGCTGTGAAGTCGGCTGGCATCTCAACTTTGTTGTCATACCGGAAGGTTGCATCGAGCTGTTTGAGGATGCACTCAAAGGCTTCAGGGTCATTCATCTTGTTCAGGCCGAAGTCTTCGACGATTCTCCAAGCAGTGCCTTGGAGTGATCCCAACAGGTTCAGCACGGCTTCTTGGGTTCTTTTCGAAAGTTCCATCTTCTTTGCATAGATCACTATCCGCTTTCTCCATTCTCGGTACCCAGTGGTGGTACCATCAAAGGTCGGGATGAAACTGTCGCGAAGGCTTTGGGTGTCCAGCTCCGTTCCAGTCTTTCCAAAACTCGAGGTTGCCATAGCGCTCGTCAAGAGCGTGCAGCTCGAACAACAGGTAGAGGAAGTTCCCCTTGAAGGAATCCAGGGTGAGGTTGGTGGTTATGCTGAAGGTTAGAGGTTGTAGTTGGAGTAGCGCAGTGGTTGGAACGCAAACAGGCGCTCCGCTACCAATGTAGTTTCAACAGCGGTCTAGCACTCACGAAGTTGCTAAAGGCACAGGTCGCAGCTAGCTCTCGAAGTCTGCTGCTTTTGCCAGAGCCATTGCTCACGGTTAGATCCCACCCACCTGGCGAGGGACATTTGACCCAAGGTGGCGGCCACACGTATATACCTGGCAAGCGAAGCGTGGCAGGTGGCTTCAGTTGCATGAAACTGACATGTTTCAATATGTTTTCAAGTCAACATCCAACCTTCAGTTTCCACATCCATGAGAGGCACCTGGTTTCTCATACTTCCCCTAACAGTTGGATGAGTTTTTGCATTTTGCGGGGTGTCGGCGGTTTGGGCAGATTCAATTCATTGCCATCTGGTCAGATCATGAGTATTGTCAATGCTCCCACTTTCACGTTGCTTGGATTTGCAAGAGGGATGCCAAAGACGACCTTCGATTCACTTGCCCTGAGGAAGGATCCTTCTGCCTTGAAGCGATGAATTCAGCGTCAAGAGCTTCAAGTTCCAAGGAAATGTCGAGCATCAGGGAGTGTCAGGAGCACGGAAATTCCCATTGCTCGGAATAGACTCATCTCAGTTTCCTCGCATGTGGTTTTCTCTACTTGCATTTTTTCTCGACCTTCGATGTAAGCTCACTGCACTGCTGGTTTTCATGATGTTTGCTAGCTAAAACTGCAGCCTTTCGCCTTTCACTCAAGCGCTCAAAGTGTACAAGCATGGTTTGCGGATGGTTTAGTGAGTGGCCGTGGCCTCAAGTGAGATCCGAAGCATCAACAGAACGACATGAGATGATACGACCGAGATGATTTGAGTGACACCAGCACTAACAGCCGTTGGTTCGTTTGCGCACACTACCCTGAGGCTAGCTCCACTTATTCTGGAGTACACGGACTTGAAAAGTCTTCTGACGCTGGAGACCACTGCTGTATTCCGCAAAGAACCATTTCCTTTTGTGCAACTTGCCCCTGCTTTGGATGGGCTTGGACATGTTTGGAGTTTGGACATGTTTGGACCAGTGCAAGAGTTCCCAGGTTTCAACAGTCACCACAAGCACCGGCACCCCGAGTATCCATAAGCCACAGCCGCCACTCCTGCCAACCCGATCGCAATTGCCGTTGACGTTTCGGACTTGTTCCCCAACTCATAACTCTGTGAAAAGTTCAGAAAGAACAGAGTCAGTTGCCGTATCACGAATACGCTGAGTTTGCGGCTGCAGTCAGCCAATGCATCCAATTGAAGCAGAGAAGGATCAGCATGAGAACCATACATTACAATCCAAATTCAAACAAGAAAGAACCAAAAAACTATCAACCATCAGGCTTGCATGTCAAAGGCCTCAAAGGTTTCTCTTGCTTTTTGCTTGAGAGGTGCACGAGTTCTAAAATCCACCAGCAACTCCTTCGGATGTTCAGGGGCTGACATTTCTGGAATGCTAAGAGGACGCTGCACATTCCTATGGCAACCCTTGTCAGTCACAAAATTGTAATTCAACCCCAGCCGACTTTAGTAACTTTACGCACAAACACCCCGTTTCGCCCACACCCTTCTTGTCTTGGGAAGATCAACAAAGGTATTGGGGAATATAAAAGTCCCACCTCCGTTAAACTTTACATTCATTTTACATTCATTGAAGATGTTCAATAAGAGGAGAATTCTCCCACCCCCGCTAAACTTCTACATTCATTGAAGATCTAAGGGTTCAAATCTCCCACGCGCGTTAAACCTTTGCATTCATTGAAGATCTTCAATACGGGTTTAATTCTCCCACCCCCGTTGAACTTCTATATTCATTGAAGGCCATCAATAAGAGTTTAATTCAACCACCCCCGTTAAACTTCTACATTCATTGAAGATCTTCAATAAGGGTTCAATTCTTCCACCCACGTTAAACCTCTTTATTCATTCATTGAAGATCTTCAATATCCTTCAATAAGAGTTTAATTCTCCTACCCTCGTTAAACTTCTACATTCATTGAAGGCCTTCAATAAGGGTTTAATTCTCCCACCCCCGTTAAACTTCTACATTCATTGAAGATCTTCAATAAGGGCGGGTTTAATTCTTCCACCCCCGTTAAACTCCTACATTCATTGAAGATATTCAATAAGGGCGGGTTTAATTCTTCCACCCCCGTTCAACTTCTACATTCATTGAAGATATTCAATTATAAGTTATAAGGGTTTTATTCTCCCACCGGGGTTAAACTTCTATATTCGTTGAAGATCTTCATTGACGATGATGATGATGATGATGATGATGATGATGATGATGATGATGTGGATGTGGATGTGGAACGAACCCGCACAGGTCCCTTTGCTGTGCGTTCTGATCTAGAACATCAAGTTATATAACATTATATAACCATAATGCTAAAATATCCCATATTTTTTACCATGTTTTCAGCTCATACGAAGAAGGCGGGCCAACAGGCGCGGACAAGACGAGGTGTTTGGCCGGAACTTTAGTACCGTCCACTAACAGGGCACACACTCAATCCGCGAAGCCATGAAGTGCAGCCAATCACAGCCAGTGAAGATGATTTAGAAACTAAACAATATCACCAGGGAAATTGGATGCTATAATGCAAGGGGGCCAAGGTCGCGTACACAGCATGTAACCCACATAAAGTTCCAGGAAGGACACGCCAGTAACTGGCGGCATCATGCAAATGTGTCTGGGCGGCCAGAGCAATGGACTTGACCACCATGCAAAGCGCCACAGATCTTTAGGTTCCCAAGAAAAAGATAAAAGAGTATTGCGTGGGAACACCACGGATCTATAAATATCCTGAGAAGAAAATAATTTTGCTACATGTGTACGAAACGTATTGTCCTGATGTCGTTTTTTGTCAGTCTGACGCTGCAACCAGTTGGTACCCAACACAAGGATAGATAGACGACGATACAGTAGATTTGGATAGCTCGCCTAACCACCTGCCGTCTTGCTGCACAGTATGAATGAGTTTTCTCATGTTTTTTGCAGTTTCCCAAAAAGACGGGTGCAGCCATGCATCACACATTGTTTGGCAGTAGTATCGGGCTGACAGATTCCAAAACACAGAGTTGAACCTCCTCACCAGTATTCCTGAAGTCATCCTCTGCAATGCGAGTGTTGTAATTAAACATTATGCATATCCTTTGCAAGGGGGTAGCTGAAAGCATTACATTATCATACATGATCAATGTCCACCACCCCCTGCATATTTAGTAGATGTACTTGTAGTAACTTGTAGTAAGAAGATGTAAGAAGTGGATGCAACTTTCAATTTGATGAGTTTTGATGCAAGTTGTATCAAGTTGTATCAAGTTGTACTCGCGTAGTCTCAGGTCTTCACCTTCCCCAGGAGGTGATTCGCAGCACTTTCAAGATGGATTAGATTCGTTTCAAGTTTCAAGACAGTCTCTAAGACTTTTCAAGACACTTCTGGCTAATTAATGATAATTAATGATAATTAATGATAATTAATGATAATTAATGATAAGTAATGATAATTAATGATAATTAATGATAATTAATTTAGTGATAATTAATGATAATTAATTTAGTGATAATTAATGATAATTAATGATAATTAATGATAATTAATTTAGTGATAATTAATGATAATTAGTGATAATTAATGATAATTAATTTAGTGATAATTAATGATAATTAATGATAATTAATTTAGTGATAATTAATGATAATTAGTGATAATTAATGATAATTAATGATAATTAATGATAATTAATGATAAGTAATGATAATTAATGATAATTAATGATAATTAATGATAATTAATTTAGTGATAATTAATGATAATTAATGATAATTAATGATAATTAATTTAGTGATAATTAATGATAATTAATGATAATTAATGATAATTAATTTAGTGATAATTAATGATAATTAGTGATAATTAATGATAATTAATTTAGTGATAATTAATGATAATTAATGATAATTAATTTAGTGATAATTAATGATATTTAGTGATAATTAATGATATTTAATTTAGTGATAATTAATGATAATTACCCGATCTGTGCCATGTTGTCCTTGTTATAGTCGTTTTCTTCGTCAAGTGGATGCTTGGTGAACCTCCTTACGGTTTTCATTGCCTTCTCTTCATCTGTTCTTCTGCGTTTGCTTCTTCACTTCTTCAGTGTAAGGCAAACGCTCCGCAGAAAAGCAAGTGCAACTGGTGCTGTGTGCTTTGAGACTGGTGCTGTTGTCGGAGAGGGTGTTGATCCAAAATCTGAGCTGCTGAGATGGGCAAACGATCGCACAGCTTTCTCAACGACTCCAGTTTGTGCTCCAGATGTCGAAGTGCCCAAGTTTACCCTGAGCCCTGGAAGAGCTCCGACCAAGTTGGAGACACATCCAGAACGGCACTTTCTGGGTGCTGCTTCGTCACTTTCAGATTCGTCCTCAAGTGACTTTGTTTCCGCTCTCTCCGAAAGCCAGCGAAACTTTCGGGTTGCTCCACAGCTGCCTCGTACAGCTCAACCAATCATCCCGCTGGTGTATGGCACTAGGAAAGGCTGGCCATTCTACGTGGAGTTTCTTTTCGCTTGGCAAGAGCATGGCAATGGAGAAGCTTGTCAGCTTGGAGTGCAAAGCTGCAATGGTAGGAGTTCTACGAGTTCTACGATGAGTTCTCCGAGTTCGTTTGGTCAATTTAGTCCGTCTTTAAGCCAAAGTGAGGCCACAGTGGTACGCCTGAAATTTTCGCCCAGTGCTGGAGCCGTTTTCCAGCAGAGAGCCGAGGGCTCCTTTCGTATGTGGCCTTTGGAAGATCTTTGGGTGGATGCCTCGTTGCCTGGCACGCAGACGTTTCTGGAAGCAGGTGTATACATCGACACAAAAGGAGAGATCTCTTTCTACCGTAAAGGACCTTACACACGAGAAAACAAAGGAGCGGTTGCTCGACAATTGTCCTGGGAAGTTGCCGGAGGCTTCACATGTTTCCCTGCCGTTTGCAGAGCGGTGGAAGGGTACGATGGTTATGATGGTTTCAAACATGCAAATGATCCAAATGTAGAGCGTTTGCAAAGTTCAAATGAAATTCAGGACCATTTTTACGTAGTTTTGTGCCTTTTGGACGAGCGTACTCCCTTGGAAGCACGCCTGGTGAAAGTTGGATCTGTTCCGCCTTTGCCAGCACCAACAGTGCCCCGGCGAAGCTGGGTGCCTGAGACACAGGTCAGAACTTAGAATTCTCAATTCCATGCGTTCCATTCAATCCCCAAGTATGTCACAACAAGTATGTCATAAAGATTCATAAAGAATTTTAAACAATGAACAATTGATATAAATTAAATTGTGAAGATATATGACAATATGTGAACACATGCGAACATTTGTGAAGGTACTTGATATGTGGAGACATGTATGAAATGCACACCACAAGACTACGTATAACTGTAGAGATGACGAGCCGCTTTCACCTAAGCATACATTGGACATCATTGGACTGCATACCCACTGTGGGAATTCACAGGTTGATGATAATATTGTAATATTGGTCTGAGTTCATGATGATTTGGAACCATTCAGCGTTCATGTGACATGAGTCAGGAATACCAAACAGAGTTTGCGCCCATCCATAGCATTTCATAGCTGACCACCGGAAACATCGTTCGAAGTTGTCAACCAATACGAAAGTGGATGCTGTATGCAACTTTTCAAAGATGATGAGCAGTGGTGAACTGGTCAACATTTTTTGTTGTATTGTGGCTCAAAGAAAATAAAGAAATTACTAATTTGGAAATTGCCTTTGACAGAGGAGTTTCTCCGAAGTACCGAGCAACTTTGCTGAAGTACAGCTTCTCAATTCTTTTAGGTGATATTGCGAGCACCATGTAATTGAGTCAAAGATACAAAGTCAATCAAAGTCAATGACCTGAGTCTTCAAGTGTCCATATTCCCCAGACAGGCTTTCAGATCAAATTGGTCAGAAATTGGTCAGATCTCAGCTTCTTCCCGCAACCCATTCCGGTGAACGGCAGAGGTTGAGCTCGCTGCTGAGCTGGTTATATTGGATTCTAGTATAGGCACAACCATGCACAACCTATTTCAAATTATTTCAAGCATTGACATGGAAGAAGTAAAACCATTACTTGCCCACTTCCACGGAAGCTTTGTGCATATTTGATCCGGCCCGAGCCACACTTTTTTCAGCCCATTGGATGGGAAAGTGAAGCACGTGTCAGATCATTCGTCCGCCTGGCAGTATCCCTAAAATACCTAGACATACCTAGACATACCTAGACATACCTAGACATACCTAGACCAATGTGCCAATTTGTCAATGTGTGTGGTAATTTTCACTTTCACGGCAAATCTGGCTCTGGAAGTCTGGCTCGTTGCTTTCTGCGCCTTTGAAAGGGTCCAAATTTATGGTGGAGCCACGAATCGGCTCGAAATCCTGTGCATCCAACCATATCCAACCAGATGCTCCAAAGACATCAAAAACCGAACAACTCCTAAGTGAAAAAGGGCCGAGTTGTCGAACCTAGATGGGGAAGCTGCAGAGGATCAATAGGGACAACAGGGGTGATTCTTCTTCATATGTTGTTCGAGTTCATTTAGACCTAGTGCACCAGCTGGTAGAGACAAAAATGAGCGGCACACACGCGCACACACACACACCCCTGTGTTTTGGCCTCGCACCGTATGATGATTCCCCGCTCACGCCTGTCGGTCATGTTCCTGGGAAGGACAAGCTTCACATGGAAATGCTGCCCTCCTGAAATCTGGACAGCCTGCTGTTGGCCCTGTCAAGTACTCCGTGTTTGATTCGCAGTGAGGCTCAGCAGTTCCCAGCAGTTCCCAGAACTCATACTCATATTAGTCTCATGCCAAACATATTTGATGCTCCGCCACTTGCTTATCTATTGTTTGGGTCCGGGGGGGTTCAGGTAAGCTGTTTCAATCAATGCTGCAAAAAAGTGTTGCAGCGAGCTGCAGAAAGCTTCCACGAGTTTCTGGCAGATCAGATCGATTTTTTGTAACTGTGAGACGATGGAACACAAGGAGTCAAACAAATGTAGGTTGTCAGAGTGAGATGCCGGGTCATGGTGGTACTCCCAACTTGCAATGCATACCCAGCTGTGCAGCTTCAAATAAAAGAAGCAAATGTGCAGAGCAGTACAGGAGACCTGAAAACTATGGGAACGGCACCAGTGCACCCTAAATACCAGGTCCAGGAGTATCCAGGATCCATATATTAATGTTGCTGTGTCTGAATCCCGCTAGGTTTGGTTTGTTTTTTTGTCCTGCAGTAAGTTTCAAATCCTAATTTGTGCAGACCATTCACTTGAGCTTATTGGTGTGTAGCTGAATGTGTCGCGGGAAATGGCCCCTTTGTTACCTGGCCCAGGGTGCCTTAGCTGCAGCATTATCACTCTTGCGTGTGAGACACCACAAGATGAAGTAGACCAAGTTGAGGAGTTTTTGAGTCAATGATTAGTCTGATTTGCGGGCAAGCCAGTGAACACATTTTGTTTCAGCCTCCCCCTTTCTGTATCGATTTTCAAACGATTTCCATCTCTTTCTGTGCTTCAAAACTCCTCCCCATAAATTGTGTCCTAATGCTTGGCTCTGGATGGAGTCTGTGCGGTGGCATGGTATTCCCACATCAACTTTGTAAACTTAAACAGGGGCTTTCATGCGTCCATTGTTGCCATTGCTGCTTTGGCCTCAAGCTTTGGCTGAGGTCCGCACATGCAACCCAAGTGCACCAGGAGGCAGAGGCACCTGTCTGACTTCCATCACTGGCTGTTCTTTTCTCATCATGCTATCTTATCGGGTGGTTCCAGAGGGCATCGGCCTTATGATGTGCTTTCTTAGTTTTGCTGCCCGTTCCAGAAAAAGTAAGCTGTCACCTCCTTGACACTTTCAGACAGTTGTTGCAAAACGTATGCAAAACGATGAAACTATATACAGTGTTTGAAAATACACAAGACAAAAAGATCAAGACATGCAAATCCAAGATACTGTAGCAAGTCTTCACGTATTGAACCATTTTCAACAATGCAAGCATGCCACAATGTCCAATATACGAAATCACTGAATGGAGGCCAAGCCTTCATCTTGGTGGGGAGACTGGCTTGAGGCTGTTCATGACTGGTGGATTACAACTAGGAGAGAAAAATTGTAGACCAAACATGGACAATGGAGCGGCAGGAACGGACACACTATTTAGATCTATTTAGCAATGAAACCTGTGAATCAACATTTTGACAAACCATCAGACATGTTGCATATCGTGGTGCTGAAATGCTTTGAATTTACATGACTTTATCATGAAATGAATTCATATTCTGCTTTGGGCAAAACCGTCAACCTTTCATTTCTGCAATGCTAAGCTTATCAGCTTATGATATCGATGGTATAATTCTGTGTGCTTGGCACAAGGTGGATTCAACATGCCGCCCTGGGCGAGGTCGTCGAATAGTTAGCGGAAACTTGCTCGCAATCATGTGCCAACTCAGACATTCTCGGTGTTGTTCCTGAAGTATTTGTGCTTCAACCTTTCATCTTGACATCTTGAAACCTCAAGGACAGCACCGAAGTACATTGGATAGCAGCTCTGGACAGCACGGCTGGCAGATCACCAGATTTTCTCCAACTCGCGAGCCTAGTGTGCCTCGTGCAGAGGGGCAATTGGAAAATCCAGAGTTGTGTGGCTAACGTTCAAAAGGTTTAACATGTGGATTGCCAAAGCAAAAGATGTGGAAGCTTCCAGCAATTGGCCGCAACTGGAAGTGTTCGGGTTTTCTCTATTTGCTAAGATATCACAAAAGCTGGCTTCTGCTAGCTGCCTCATCCCCCTCCTCCCCCCCTTGGCTGGTTCACAAGCAGTTTGGCCGTGGGCTCAACCCCCCCACACAGACATCGTCAGCAACATTGGCAGCATCGGCATCCTCTGCATGATTTGCATCGTCAATAGGCCATGCCTTAGTTCTCTTCAAGTCATTGATGCAGCGGCGCTCGTGATTGGCATGTTCATTCATGGCTAGCCTTCATCTTGGCCTCGCTTCATTTTCATGTTGCGCACGCACACCTACCTCTCATCCTCAACTTCGGTTTGCACTGCGTTACTTCTTCCCACACTTCCAAAGGTCCACTCCAATGCCGAAGGTCCGAAGGTGGACCCTTGAATCTTCCCCAACCACTGGTCAGCACGTTGGCTATGCTGAATTTCCTCATCCTTTTCGTGCAACAGTACATAAGAATCATATATCCTCATCCTCGTCCCCTCCAACATACATCGCCTCAATACGTAGGTCTGGATGCTCACCTTACCAACATGCCCCAGCTCGTCCACGTTGACGAAAAAGCTGGGCAGCTGCGCTGTGCCCTTCGTGTTTTCATGCCCAGCTCCCTGCCAAGCTAGCGTTCGTCCCTTACCCCTGGGCCTTAAGTCTAAGACATTGCAAGGCAGCATCAGATTTTACTTGGTGAAAGCCCTAAGTTGTCTCAGGCAGCACTTTGTTGTCTCATCTCGGTGTGCCATGCGAAAGATCTGACACAACCATTGGAATGGAGTTGTCATTTGGTATGATATTTACAGCACAACGCATAGGCACGCAAGGATTCTTAACATTGCAAACATTAGTTATATCCATTTGCCTCCCTAACAATCCCTGGGTTACTTTTATGGAGTTTAGCGGGGCCTTTTGGCTTTTGGTGGAATGATATATTGTTACAAAATGAGGTTTAGACAAGCTCAATTCAATCTGCAATGATCAGCAGATGCGCGAATGATTGGGCACTTTGGCCCAAGATTGCTTTGATCGGTGTTTCAATGGCAATGGAACCCCCCCGCAAGAAGCGATCTCGCAATGATGGGGTAAGCCCTTTCTTGTCTCAGATAGCACTTTGTTGTCTCATCTCGGTGTGCCATGCGGAAGAAGTGACACAACCACTGGAATGAATTACTACATGATTTGTTATTTGGTATGATCTTTACAGCACAACGCATAGGCACTCAGGGATTCTTAACATGGCAAACATTAGTTGTATCAAGTTATATCCATTTGCCCCCTAACAATCCCTGGAGCAACGTGAGTTTCCCACACAGTGTGTACACACTCGGGGGTCTTGTGATCGGTCCTCCTCCTCCTCCTCCTTTTCCTCCTCCTCCTCCTCCTCCTCAGTATCATCATCTTCCTCCTCCTCCACATCATCATTCTCAGCATCATCCTCCACATCATCATCCTCCACCTCATCTTCCGCAACATTATCCTCCTCCACCTCATCTTCCCGACCTTATTGCTTGGATTTTTCAGACCTATCCACATCGTTTTTACTATTTACAGTTTTTGATCTGACGTGGGGATATGTGGGGTGGGTTCTGGCTGGGATGGCAAAATGTAATTCCGGTACCTCGTCCGGTACCTCGTCCAAAAACCTTTCCAGAGTCATGATTCTGGTATTACATCCATATTCCATATGTCTCGGATTCCGTTACAGCAGGGCAGGGTGTGATTTCAATGTGATTAATTTCAAACTTTGTTTGTGAAAGTCTTCCACTCTCCTGCAAGTGTGCCATTGGGATTTTAGTTTTTTTCAGAACGACACCCTTTAATTTGTTTTTTTGAAAATACCAGAACGCAAGCTGGTGATGCTGTTTCAATGCTTGGCTAAGCTTTTGACCTGGAATTGCTTTTGGCGGTGTGCCATTGAGATTTGACTCCAAGTTGACAGGTCGCACCTTCCCATATTCTGATTCCGGGCATAGCGAAATGCAAGCTAGGAACATGATTCAAAGTTTGCAACGACTTCGTGAAAGTCTTCCACTCTCCTGCAAGTGTGCCATTGGGATTTTAGTTTTTTTTCAGAATGGACACCCTTTATTTTGTTTCTTTTGGAAATACCAGAACGCAAGCTGGCGATGCTGTTTCAATGCTTGGCTAAGCTTTTGACCTGGAATTGCTTTTGGCGGTGTGCCATTGGGATTTGACTCCAGGTTGACAGGTCGCACCTTCCCATTTTCTGATTCCTAGCATAGCTAAGTGCAACTAGGGACATGATGCAAAGTTTGCAACGACTTCGTGAAAGTCTTCCACTCTCCTGCAAGTGTGCCATTGGGATTTTTAGTTTTTTTTTCAGAATGGACACCCTTTATCTTGTTTCTTTTGGAAAATACCAGAACGCAAGCTGGCGATGCTGTTTCAATGCTTGGCTAAGCTTTTGACCTGGAATTGCTTTTGGCGGTGTGCCATTGGGATTTGACTCCAGGTTGACAGGTCGCACCTTCCCATTTTCTGATTCCTAGCATAGCTAAATGCAACTAGGGACATGATTCAAAGTCTGCAACGACTTCGTGAAAGTCCTCCACTCTCCTGCAAGTGTGCCATTGGGATTTTAGTTTTTTTGAGAATGGACACCCTTTATTTTGTTTTTTGGGAAATACCAGAACCTAAGCTGGCGATGCTGTTTCAATGCTTGGCTAAGCTTTTGACCTGGAATTGCTTTTGGCGGTGTGCCATTGGGATTTGACTCCAGGTTGACAGGTCGCACCTTCCCATTTTCTGATTCCTAGCATAGCTAAGTGCAACTAGGGACATGATTCAAAGTCTGCAACGACTTCGTGAAAGTCTTCCACTCTCCTGCAAGTGTGCCATTGGGATTTTAGTTTTTTTTCAGAATGGACACCCTTTATTTTGTTTCTTTTGGAAATACCAGAACGCAAGCTGGCGATGCTGTTTCAATGCTTGGCTAAGCTTTTGACCTGGAATTGCTTTTGGCGGTGTGCCATTGGGATTTGACTCCAGGTTGACAGGTCGCACCTTCCCATTTTCTGATTCCTAGCATAGCTAAATGCAACTAGGGACATGATTCAAAGTTTGCAACGACTTCAAAACATGATGCATCTGAGCCGCTGTGCCTTGGGGATTTGACACCTGGGGTAACTACTGTCTGCCCTGGGGTAACTCGGTGTGCCTTGCAGTTGGGGTAACTAATGGGTAAATGGGGTAACTTAGGGCGTCTGCTAGTACAAGATCTTTGCAGTATAAGAGATCTCAATATAAGAGATTACGGGACATTGTCAAATTACAGGTGGTGCCAAAATTATAGAACGAAATTCGGAGTACAAAAGTACGGTAAAATACCGTACCTTCGTACCCCTCCGGATCCCGATTCTCGTGCGGATTCGGATCCTGTTCTATGATTAACTTTTCGGTTCTATAATTATTTTTTCTGTTCTATAACTTCTGGCACCTTGGAGGTTACTGACATATACTTGCATCATTTTATGTATCTTTCTGGGACCCCGGAAGATATTACTTACATATCTTTGCATCATTTTATGTATCTTTCTGGGACCCCAGAAAAAAGTGACACAGAGACCAGAATTATAGAACGGTTTACGCAAAATTAGTTATAGAACGGGAAAAATAATTATAGAACGAAACTGGTAAATGTGGGAAAAAAGGGGAAAACACAATTATAGAACAAACCAGAATTATAGAACGACGAAAAAAATAGGAGTAAGTTAAGATAAGTTTTTTCATACTCTCCGAGGAAAACAGAATTATGGAACAACAGGGTACGGTAAATAACCGTACCTTCGTACTCCTCAATTTCCGTTCTCTAATTCTGGCACCGACCACATAATATATTTTCTTTTAAGATATTGTGTATATATAAAAATATATAATATTATATAATTACATTTGTATAGCGTCCCCCAAGAAGACAGACAAGTTTTTTCAGGATGTTACATCCTGAAAACGGGGAGGGAAATCTTGAGCTGTCATCCTTAAAACCGAGAGGAAACAATTGACCCAGATTTCTGGGAGAAAATTCGGGATAAAAACCATCCAAACACGGGGGGTCCCGGAATGTATGCAAAATCCACGTATAGCTGGGGGATACTGCAGGTAGAAAAACCCAAATGAAAAACTTGATCCGACAATCTGTACATGCCAAATCTACAAATAGTTTCGCGATATTGGCAAATGGGGAAAATCATCAGGCCCCAGCCTCTTGCCCATTGAACAAATGCCATTTGTTGAGTTGGATCTTGTCTCTGGGTTCCTGCTTTGCAGTTCCTTCAAAACCTCCTCTTGCAAAGGTTTCACTTCACGGGGGGATGCTGGATCTTATTGTCCTTTTTTGCATCCGTTTCGTAAGTTCTGACCCAGTTTGTGTGGTAAAGGATGCAGATACAAATAGATGGGGAATACAAAAGATAGAAAAGCTGCCAAGATTATTTGGAACCCGGGGGATGCAGCAAACAAGGCAAACAGGTAGCGAGGGGCACTGAAGATGGAAGAAAAGCAAACGCAATTGTTGACCCTGTGTGTGTGTGCGTGTGCGCGCGTCTGAACCATGCATACAAGACACGAGCAGCACACATGAAAACCTTGACTCGAATACCATTTGTTGAGTTGGATCTTGGTCTTGGGTTCCTGATTTGCAATTGTTTTGCATGCTGTTCGTTCAAAAGCCTCCTTTGCAAAGTTTTTGAGGGTGGGATGCAGGATCTCATTTTCATTCATTTTCCTTTTTGTATTTGCTTGGTTGCGTTGTTTTTTTTTAAGGTTGCGATTTCCATGCGAAATTTATCAAAACTGAGGTCTGAAGCCATGCAAATAGGTAGTGGGGCCCCGAAGATTTAAAGTTTATATGTGCAGGTTCTGACCCACGAGCGGTAAAGGATGCAAATAGGTGGGGATACTGAAGATGCCCATAGGACGAGGAGCCAGCAACCCATTGGAACCATCATCTCATATTAGGTTTTTTGCACTCATACCAACATGGTTGTCTGCTGCCAACAGGCTAGAGACATGGAGTGCTGGAACAGCAAAAGATTGGTATTACTTTCCAGTACAGGCACGCTTGTTGTTTAAGAACTACTTACCTCCTCGTGACTTGACTAAGCTCGAAGAGACCACTTGGGGAGAGAACACTAAGACGAAAGAAAGGTATCTTGTCATATGCAGTTTCACGCAGGGTTTGCTTCAAAAGTTATAAAATCCCCCGGCCCCATGGAACAAATGACCATACTTCTACTAGGGTTTCAGGTAGGGTTTAACATAAGTTATAGAATCCCCCGGCCCATGGAACAAATAACCATATTTCTATTACGGTTCCATGTGGGGTTCACATAAGTTATAACATCCGCAAGATGACATATGAACAACCCAGACCCGCTCAAAAAGTGAAGAAGGGGGGAAGGCCGAGGCGCATGAAGCCTGCAGAGGGCTCGATTTTTCTAAAAAATTGTCTTGGGACATATTAACGCACAGATGTACCAAAGTCATAAAAGCAGTGATATGAGCCTCCTTAAGACGTCAATCATGCCGTTCCGGGCAAGCACTCAGTCTTGCCCGTAAAGATGGAAAAGATGCAGAAACAGCGCGCTGAAACAAGAACCAACGTTGGCTAGACTTTTTGGGAACCTTAACCTTAGCCCAACAAAATGCAAGGTGCTGCTAAAAAGTGCAAGAAGGACACAATTGCCTTTCAAAAGGCCAAAGGCTTTCCGAGAACATGGACCAAAGACGGAACGAACGCAGCTTTAGGCTTGGGACATGGGAAAAGAATGTTATTTGCAGGGTTTGAAGGGTTTTTGAAACTTTTCTAATCTGTTCTATCTTTCGTATCCTCTGCATATAGGTGAGGAAAATTCATACCTGGATCATTTGTATGCCTTAAAACGTTTCTATCTTTGATAGCGACTGTAAATTTACAGGGAACGGTGCTCTTAAAGTCATCAATCAAATTAAGGATTTCTGGTGAATACCAGCGCGGTACTAAAGATAGAAAAGTTTGCAAGCCTCACAAAGTTTCCTTGCGTTTCTCAGGCTGTAGCTTGTCTATCTCTGTGGGAGACACTTGGAGAGACTATATAAATCTATATAATATTATTATATATATAATATAATATTTACAATTATATATATATACAATTATATACATATATATATATATAAGATATTACAAGATACAACAATATAGTACAAGATAGCATATATATAAGATATTGCAAGAAAGGCCATATCAGTGCAGCTTGGTGTGCTGCGAGGCTGCCAGAGGCAGAGATAGCTTGTGCAGCCTGTCGGTGTCAGCGTGGCTATGGCCACGGCAGCTTGAGGCTCGTTTTTTGGCATTTCCTTTGTTATTCCCAACAGCAGAAAACTATATATTCGGTTTCAATCTCTAGAAGCAGAGAGGTGGTATCCCGACTTCTCCCCCCTTCCCTATGCATGTGCAGGGTTCCGGCAGGGTCTCGGGAACCTTGGAACCTTTGTCCCCCACAACTCCCAGTTGTCTTCCAAAGATGGTCTAAGTCTACGACTTTTTTTCCACTTGCTTCCAAAGGTTTCTCCGCTTGCTGTGTAGTTGTCTTCCACCTGCTCCCAGATGTGGTCTCTCAGTGTTGTTTCCCGGTTGTCTTTCAGATGTTGTCTCCCACTTGTCACCGCGTCGTCGGCGTCGTCTCGTGTTTCTAAGGACTTTCCAGAAAACTACAAAGGTCTTTTTGCGGCGAGCAGGATTCCATGCTAAAGCGGCCATGTCCGTAACCCTCACGCACGCGGGCCTGCTATTCTCCAATCGGTGACGTCCGTTTACCCGACAAAGACACTGTTTTGCGGCTGCGCAATTCCTCACATTCAAATCTCATCCTTGATGCAGCAGTTCGAATGCGATCTGCTGCAGCGCTTCTTCACTCTTCTCTGCTCCTCTCTACTCAACTCTCTTCGACTCTACTCGACTCTACTCGCCTCTACTCAACTCTTCTCGGCTGCTCTACTCAACTCTTCTCGGCTGCTCTACTCGACTCTTCTCGGCTGCTCTACTCGACTCTATATACTCAAATCATCTCAAATCTACCCGGCTCTACTCGACATTACTCGACTCTACTCGACTCTTCTACTCTACTCTGCGCTGCTTTGCTCTGTTCTACTCTATTCTACCCCGCTCTACTGTGCTCTGCTCTACTCTACTCTACTCTACTCTAGTCTATAGTCTACTCTACTCCACTCAGTTCTGCCCTGCTACTTCAGCCAACTGGATTTAAATTTAAGATTTCTGAGCTACCCTCTACTTCAGGAACATGCCAAATGGGTTGAAAGATTTCCGAGCCAATTCTCCACTTCAGATACCCGATGCTTGCTCCCAGCTGAGATCTAGGAGCTCCAGCCCCTGGGGTGCATGGCTATTTTTTTAGCTTTTTAGTAAAAATGACGATAGGTCCCTTGATTTTATCTGCAGACATGCTAGATTTTATCTCGATCATAAGTGTGAGATAAATTCCAAGGGGCTAGACCCCTCATAGGTCACTTCAAGGGTACTCGCTTCCAAAGAGGACCCAAAGGGGGGTCAAGCCCTTGGATTTTATCTCATTCCAATTTCATGTCAGGCACCTTGATTTTATCTTTGGAAGGTTAGGCTCTTTGAATTTTATTTTCATCCTACTTGAGGTTTGGTACCTATCTTATTTTCAGATGTCAGCCCTTTCAGTTTAGGTCCAACCTGCACCTTTGATTGGAAAGGAAGAAAAAAACATCCTTGATTGATGAAATCCCCTGCAAAACTGGCATCAAACTGTAACAAAGGTGCATGAAAATTATTTTGCTGAGCATTGCTGCCATGTTTATCAAACTCACCGTTAAACATTTCCTCACCTCGAAACCTTATTGTTTTTGAACTTTCAGGTCAAGAGATTGAATTTGACCCAAACAAAAAGGTTGCCAAATCCTGGGCTTCTTCTGTTCCCGCATAGCTGCTTCGATCTAGCGGGGCTAAGCTTGGAGGAAAAACCAAGAAATACAGTAAAATCTATGTCCCCAACCTTGATAGATGAACCCCTCTGCAAAACAGGCATCAACCAAAGGTGCACATTTTATTTCTTGGACATGTTTATCAGCTTTTGTACCACAGAAACGGAACCCTGTCAATATTATCTCCTCTTTAAATCAATTTTTTGTTGAGCTTTCAAATCAAGGACAAATATTGAATTTGATCCAAAAAAAACACGCAACCAAATCCTGGATACCAACGTCTTACCCGGTCCACCTTCAGCTCCCGGATAGCTGCTTCGACTTAGCGGGGTGCTAGACCAGAAATGCAGGAAATAAAACCTGTGTCCCCAACCTTGAGATATCAACCCCTCTGCAAATCAGCATCAAAAAACTTGCACTAAGTTTATTTACTTGGGACGGTGCTGAAATGTTTACCTTTATCATATTTGTAAAAAAATCAAATCCAGAACAAAGTCTCCTCACTGAAATCCGTTTTTTGAACCCGTACATGAAGGACAAACACTAAAATTGATTCCAAAAAAGGCTACCGAATCCAATCTTTGCTCTTGAAGCTTGGAGGGAAAACCTGAAAATAACATCTGTATCCGCTAACCTTGATAGATGAATGATGAATCCCTCTAAAAACAACTGGCATTAAAGGTGTGCAAAAAATTGTTTTCTTGGGATGTTAGTTGTGACATGTTTGTCAACTTTATCTCTGTTGAGAACCTTTCAAAGCGGCCAGCTTATCTGTGGCATGCAGGGGGAAAAAGAACCATGGCTAAAATCCAGGAGGTCCATGGTTTCATAAGATTCAGATAAAAAATGTATGTCCAAAATATTCACAACATGCCCAAAATATTTTGAGGGGCCTGACCTTTGACCATTTTGGAACGTCCAAATTGCTCCAAAGTATTGGTTCCCTTGTCCAAGTTGAGTGTTAGCAAAAATGTTTGGTTTACGAATGCTATGCTAGACTTGGGCCCCTAGATTTTATCCATTCAGAAATGCTCAAAATGGGTATGGGGGGGGGTCAGGCCCGCCTGGAAAACAGCCAGTGGAGACTACTATTTCAGGGGTTGGACCCCCCCTAGGAGCAACCAAGGGAACATATTAAGTGGAGTTAGCGACTTCTGAGCTAAGTCTCTACTTCAGGAACATGGCAAGTGGACTACAGACTTTTGGAAAACCATCCATGACTCGGAGTTTCTCTACCAAATTCTTTGGTAATAGTTACATGCATGATCATGCATGTGTATGTACATGTTGTGTATTTTATATGTGCGCGTGTTAATTATTACCAGATATTACCAGTAGTACTGCACAAGGCGGTGGCGGAAGTTTCAAAAATAGGAAACCCCAGGAGAGGTTGGTTGTTGTGAATCACAGATGGCGGAGCGAATCCAATGATGGACCAAAAGGTGGTTGGACCTGTGTTTTTTGGAGTGGTTGCAATGTTTGCAGTGGTCACCTCACCACAACTGAAGGATGTAGTGTGGTGTAGTGCAGTCGTAGTTGTAGTCGTAGTTGTAGTGTAGTGTAGTGGGGTTGTAGTAATGTTGTGTAATTAGTGTAGTGTAGTTGCAGTGGCAGTTGCAGTTGTAGTTGTGGTGTGGTGTAAGTAGCGTATTGTAGTGTACTGTAGTGTTGCTTACTGTAGTTTGGTATAGTGTAGTGCAGTGCAGTGGAGTGTAGTGTAGCGTAGTGTAGTGTAAGGTGGTGTGGTTGTACGTAGTTGTAGTGTAGTGTAGTGCAATTTAGCGGTAATTGCAATTGTGGTTGCAGTTGTAGCTGGAGTTGTAGTGTAATGTAATGTCATTAGAAGGGTGTTGTGTAATGTAGTGTAGTTGTAGTCGCATGTGTTTTTGTAGTTGTAGTGTGCTGCAGTGTAATTAGTGCAGTGTGGTGTAATGTGGTGTTGTTGTTATTGTAGTTGTAGATGTGGTTGTAGTAGTTGTTGTAGTTGTAGTTGTAGTGTAATTAGCGCAGTGTAGTGTAATTAGTGTAGTGTAATGTAGCGTAGTTTATTTGCATTTGTAGCTGTAGTTGTAGTGTAGTTGTACTTGTTTTTGTCGTTATCTATCTATCTATCTATCTATCTATCTATCTATCTATCTATCTGTCGATCTATCGATCTATCTGTCTATCTGTCTAGCTGCAATCTGCAAGCTTGAAAACGAAGCTATTCTGCGAAGCAATTGTGCGAGACTTCAATCGAAAATGGAAAGTTGAATGCAGAGCTGACGGCTTCGTACCATTGCCTTTTTGTGATTTTTCCATTCCATCTGTCTAATGTATTGCACCTGCCACGAAAAAGTGATGCCAGGTCATACGAAGTGCTGCACCTGTCACGCAAAATTATCTTCCCAAAACTGAAGATCGGATGCTCCAAAGTGCAACTTCTCTCAGGAAATCAGCGCGCTGACCTCGCCTGCCATCGTTTTGGAAATGCTACAAACCTTCACGTTTTGCTCACTTTTGGCAAGGTGCAGAATCCCGTGCGCCTGCCACGCGAAACGACATCTGAACCTCCAAAAGTGGCGCGAACATGTAGTGCTTTGCACATTTTGACTTCGAAACGTGCTTCGTGCCACAACGGCGTACACCTTTTCGACATCTCAACTTCCAAAAGTGCTCGGAGGCTGACGTGTTTTGTACATTTTGACTTTGTAGTGTGCTTTGCGCCACAACGGCGTGCACTTTTCCGACATCTCAACTTCCAAAAGTGCTCCGAACCCGTCAGTTTTTCACACTTTTGATTTTGAAATGTGCTTCACGCCACAACGGCCTGCACTTTTTCGACATCAACACTTCCAAATGTGGTCCGACGTTGATGTGTTTTGTGCATTTTGACTTCGAAATGTGCTTCGCGCCACAACGGCGTGCACTTTTTCGACATCAACACTTCCAAAAGTGGTCCGACGTTGGTGTGCTTTGTGCATTTTGACTTGGGAATGTGCTTCGCGCCACAACGGCGTGCAACTTTTAATCTCCCATCTGACCACATGGCTCCGCACTCACCGCTTTAGCGAGCCTACTTTTCGACCCGGAGCCACAAGTCATTGTAAAAACAAAGTGTTTCGCAACTTTCCTAGCTTTTCACGCACCTGCATCTTCTTTCTTCTCACTCCTTCTCTTCTCTGATCTTCTCTCTTCGGCCCTTCTCCTCTCTGACTCTTCTCACCTCTGCTTTTCCATTTGTCCATACTGTCGGAAGTTTGACTTCTAAACTTCCTTCGATTAAGTTTCTCTATTTATTTCCAAGTTACAGATATTTGCAAAAATCTGCACGTGTATGTCATATACATACATTCATGAACATATTCGTTCCAACATATTTGCTTGTATCACAGTGATAAATGTACATACACAATTGTTACACAATCTTAGCCGGGCTGCTTGGGGCTTCGACGTTGATGAATATTGAATATTCCTCTTACATTTGGAGCACATGTCTTACCCTTCTAGTATGTCTGTTCTGAATATTCCCATTTTGCTACCTGCAGATTGTCCAGTTGACTCTGTGGACAGGCAACTCCTGGGAATTCTGCAAAAAGTTCTGCGCTCGGTCGGCGACATTCAACTCATTCTGTTGCTCTTACTACAAAGCCGGCTTTGAAGCGTCCATCTGTCGAATCGACGGCAGCTGCTTGGATTTTTGTTTGTGGGAAATTTCTCAACAAATGGTGCGAAGCAAACTGGACTGCATAAGTTCTTTTAGGCGTCAAGAGTCCTACGGTGGCGCAAAGCAAGAGATTCAGCAGTTTTTTGAAGGGCGTGGCAAGTAATTTGTACTGTAAGGTTTCCGCTCACCACATGTCAAGGAACCTGGACCGAAAACTTGCGAAGATTTGCAACATGTAGTGAGGACCTACTGTTGCGTTTCCGTAGTTTTCGAAGCAGTTTGCATGGCCGTGTGGTACCTGGGGTACCTTACAATCTACAAGTCAGCCAAGCCTTCGCAGTGCAAGGGGGGGCGCAGTGACAGGGGAAAGGGCGAACAAATCATATCTTAAAGCAGCGATCCCTGGAGTTTCACATACTTAGCGTCATGCCAGTCTTTGGATCTAATCTTGTTGTGCCCAGGAAGGAAGTGCAACCCGCCGAGTGTCTTTCAGCGACATCACTGACACGAGAAGTTGAATTCTCAAAGGCAGCAGCTGAAGTAGGAGTCGCAAGGTTTGAAGCAGTTTTGAGATTGCTTTTGTTGCTGCAGACGGTCATTTGTTCATTGATTCGGTGTGGTCATATTTGATCCTGCTAAATCAACGTTTCGCCAAAATTTAGGTTAAAATTAGCACGGCACTTTGCGCCATGCATTTGCATGCTGTCCAAATGTATGTCCATGTTGTGTCAAGCCCCATTGCTCTGAATTACAAGTCGGACAAATCGATTCAGAACTGCGACATTGCTGTAGAAGTGCAGCATAGGTTTCACTCCAGGATGCGTTCGGTTCGCCTTCAGGGAAACTTTTCTTGCGGTGTTCACTTGTCTTGAAAGCAGGCCAGCTACACAAAAAACTTTTAGAGCACACAGACAGCCTGTGTGACTGTGTGCAAGTAACCCGCGCGACGTTCCTTCGAGGCTCGCGCAAGCTTCCCGACTTTCGAACACCTCAGGTAACGGTTGAGTGAGACAGCAAACGTGGAGCTGATAGATAGCTGCCTAAAATACATGTTTCAATTTGAGCACAATACAGGACAATACATGCTCTATTCATCTCTATTCCCGATTCAAGGAACCAAGCATCACAAGACTTTCTGACCTCCTGTCTGTCAGCCTAGGGTAAGAGCATGTCGGAATCCAGCTTTCAGAGGCAGCCTTGGCACCCTCCCTGTATCAGATTGTATCAAATGAGATCCGGGAATGTAGGCGCGTCTCACGCACAAAAAATCACGTGCGCGGTAAACAAAGTCAGATTGCGGACGTGACATGTTTGATCGTTTTGTTGGCTAGTTTGTTTGCTGGCGCGTTATCCAGGTGTTTGCTTTTTTGCTAGGTAGCTAACGAGCTAGCTGGCTGGCTGGCTAGCCAGCCAGCCAGTTAGTTATATTGTCAGTTAGCTAGCTAGCTATCTAGCCAAATAGTTAGCTAGCTAGTTAGCTAGTCAGCTAGCCAGCTAGTTAGTTAGTGGGTTGGTTCCTTGGTTCGTTGGTTGGTTAGCTTGGTTGGTTGGTTAGGTAGTTAGTTATAGGTTGTTTGTTTGTTAGGGGGGTAGTTAGTTAGCTAGCTAGTCAGTTTGTTGGCTAGTCAGTTAGATAGATAGTTAATATTGCTAGTTTAGCTTAGCTTAGTTTAGTTAGTCAGTTAGTTGCTTTGGCTCAATGAGTTCAGTGAGTTCAAGTAGTTCAGTTAGGTTACTTAGGTTACTTAGGTTGCTTAGGTTACTTAGGTTACTTCGGTGGATAGTTAGTTTGTTTGTTTGTTAGTTGGTTAATCAGTCAGTCAGCTAGCGTGGTAGTTGGGTAGTTAGGTAGTTAGCTAGTTAGTTAGTTTGTGAAGTTAAGTTAAGCTACGTAAGTTTAGCTTAGTTTAGTTTAGTTTCTTGCAGTTGGTTACTTTGTATGTTTGCTTAGCTTGTTTTGTTTGTTTGTTCACTTTGTTACTTTCTTTTTCTCTATTCATTTTTTTGTTTAGTTAGTTACTTAGTTAGTTACTTAGTTAGTTCGGGTAGTTGGGGTAGTGGGATTAGCTAGCTTGCTTGCTTGCTTGCTGGTTTGTTGGTTTGTTAGTTTGTTAGTTGGTTAGTCAGTTCGTTCGTTTTGTTCGTTTGTTTATTTTCTGTTTGCTGGTGTTTATTTGTCTACCTATAGTTATCTGTAGTTCAGTTCAAGTACCGGTATCAAGGTGGAAAGGTAATTTTTGTGCTTTGCTTCCGCACCTTGCCAGTGTTTATTCAGCATGTTCCAGTTGTACGGCGCCTACGGACACGCAAAGTGGATGCGCCCAAGGTCCAATCTCAAGCCCTCCGATGAGGCTTTTGCTGCTTTCAGAGTCAAACCACAGTTCGAGGACTGAGTCATGCTGCAGATGCAGCTTCTTGCATGTCCATACATGCCATTCCGAACTTATTCATGCGACATGCCGAACGACAATGCAGAGGTCATTCGGTGCATACAGTGCATTCAGCGCATTCAGTGCATTCTGCTTTGAGATGCTTTGAGCGGTTTCCGCCCTGACCTGGCGAAGTCCTGGGCAGGAGACGGAGTTGCCACCAAGCCTCAGAGCACATGGTTCAAGCGCAAGGTCACCAGAGGGTCGGCAATGAGGTCTGAGGGCAATACAATCCTGTTAGGTCCAAGGCTTCGGAGTGCTTCATGATCTTTGATGAATCTGATAAGGATGCATGTGGTCTTTCACAGTTTTTAAGTTTGTTTTGTGTAGGTCGACAGAGGAAATTTAAAAGATCGACTTCAGAGGTATGGAGAATATTAAGTTTTTAGTTGTGAAGAGCATGAGATTAGAGAAAAAAGGTAGTAGGAAAGAGAGGAGGGGGGGGAAGAGAAGAGAAGCGAGAAGAGTAGGGACGAGAAGAACAGAAAAGAGAAGAAAGGAGACAAGAGACAAGAGAAGAAAAGAGAAGAGAAGAGAAGGGACTAGAGGACTAGAGAAGAGAAGAGAAGAAAGAAGAGAAGAGAACAGAGTAGAACAGAGAAGAGAAGAGAGTAGAACAGAGAAGAGAAGGGAAGAGAATAGAGAAGAGAATAGAGAAGAGAATAGAGAAGAGAAGAGAAGAGGAGAGAAGAGAAGAGAAGAGAGTAGAGAAGAGGAGAGAAGAGAAGAGTAGAGTAGAGAAGAGAGTAGATAGAGAAGATAGAAAAGATAGAGAAGATAGAGAAGATGGAAAAGATAGAAAAGATAGAGAAGATAGAGAAGATAGAGAAGATAGAGAAGATAGAGAAGATAGAGAGGATAGAGAAGAGAAGAGAATAGAGGAGAGAAGAGAGAAGAGAAGAAAGAAGAGAGGAGAGGAGAGAAGAGAAGAGAAGAGAGAAGAGAGAAGAGAGAAAAGAGAAGAGAATCGAATCGAGAAGAGAAGAGAGTCGAGAAGAGAAGAGAGTCGAGAAGAGAAGAGAGTCGAGAAAAGAAGAGAGTCGAGAAGAGAAGAGAGTCGAGAAGAGAAGAGAGTCGAGAAGAGAAGAGAGTCGAGAAGAGAAGAGGGTCGAGAAGAGAAGAGAGTCGAGAAGAGAAGAGAGTCGAGAAGAGAAGAGAGTCGAGAAGAGAAGAGAGTCGAGAAGAGAAGAGAGTCGAGAAGAGAAGAGAAGAGAGCAGAGGAGAGAAGAGAAGAGAAGAGAGTAGAGGAGAGAAGAGAACAGAAGAGAAGAGAAGAGAGAAGAGAAGAGAGTAGAACAGAGAAGAGAAGGAAAGAGAATAGAGAAAAGAGAAGAGAATAGAGAAGAGAATAGAGAAGAGAGAAGAGAAGAGAGAAGAGAATAGAGAAGAGAATAGAGAAGAGAATAGAGAAGAGAAGAGAGAAGAGAATAGAGAAGAGAAGAGCGAAGAGAAGAGAAGAGAGAAGAGAGAAGAGAGAAGAGGGAAGAGAAGAGAGAAGAGGGAAGAGGGAAGAGAAGAGAGAAGAGAGTGGAGAGAAGAGAGAAGAGAGAAGAGAAGAGAGAAGAGAGAAGAGAGAAGAGAGAAGAGAAGATAGAAGCGAGAGAGAAGAGAAGAGAAAAGAAGAGAACAGAATAGAGAAGAGAATAGAGAAGAGAAGAGAAATAGAGAAGAGAAGAGAACAGAGAACAGAGAACAGAGAACAGAGAATAGAGAATAGAGAACAGAGAACAGAGAACAGAGAACAGAGAAGAGAAGAGAAGAGAGTAGAGAAGAGAAAACAGTTGAGGAGAGTAGAGAAGAGTAGAGGAGAGTAGGGTAGAGTAGAGTAGAGTAGAGGAGAGAAGGAAGGGAATAGAGAAGAGAGCAGGTAAGAAGGGAGAGCCTAGTGTCTGACGGGAAAGATGTGAACGATATAGTTTGTTTTTGCGTAGCGTGTGTCTCCGCCTTTATGTGGGGGAACCTGTTAGTGCGACAGGTGCGTCGGGTCCGTTTTTTTTTTCGTTTTCCAAGCTTGTAAGTTGCATTGGAATGGCTACGTCAATGTTTCTCCTTGTTGTCGTCGCACATGCTCCATTGGTTGCTCAGCGCATTGGAATTCCTACGCTGAGGTGACTTGTAGGTGACTTGTGAAGTGGTTTTTGACATCTTTTGTCAGGATGGTTTTTGACGGAAAGGAAAGACGCGAAGCGCCGCGTTCTTTCTACGTCTCCGCACGTTGATGTGGGGAACCTCATTCGCACGCAGGGCGGGGCGTTACTCTCGAACGTTTTATGGCGGGTCCTCCACTGTACAGCTGGGTCCGAGCTATTTCCATTCGATAGGTTGGTGCTTTCTGCCACGGTGTTTTATGATCCAAGCTTGTAAATTGCAATGGAGCGGCTTCGTCAATGTTTCTTCGCGTTGTTGTTGCACATGCAGTTCCAGTGCTTTCTGCAATCCAGTGGTTGCTTAGCATGTTCGAATTGTAGTAACTAGGCGACCCTGTGACGCGTGTCTTTGCAACACTCGGCCCCGGTGCTTTGTTTTGCGCCCAGGCCCACTGATTGCTCATGGTTGCTCTCCCGTTCGCGCGTTCAAGCACATTAATTTATGGCCATTGACGCATTTTTTTGTGCTGTGGTGTTTTTGCGTTTTGCAATACAATGGTTATCCCGCGCATTCGAGTTGCTGCGTCAGTTCTATTGTTTGGCTGGCATACTTTTTCAAAGTTTTGGCGGTCCGCTTTTGCCTTTTCAAGTTTTTTCTTGGAAACGTTGCAAAGTTGTGCTTTTCTGGCTTTGGCGCCGCGATCCGGGGGCCTGACATGCTGTGAGGGCGCGCCCTGGCGCTTCTAAGTTTGGCAGTGGGAACGTGAATTTTGATATCTATTTGTATGCGGGTCTTTTGGTGCTTCCCACAATGCAATGGCTGCTCTGCGCCGTCGAACTGCTGTGCCAAGTATGGCGTGTGTCTGGGAGCTGGGTGGCATAGGTGTTTTTGTGTCTTCTGCAACCCAGTGGTTGCGCGGCGCATTCAAGTGCTGCGCCAAGGAGACTTGTGACGTGTCTTTGTGGTGGCGCTGTTGCGTTTTGCACTCCAGCGGTTGCTCAGCGCATTGGGCTTGTTGCCTTTGGCAATACTTTAAAAAAATGCGGCGGACTGCATTTTCCTCGTCACGTTTCTGGTCAGTTATCGTTGCAAATTCGCTTTTTCTTCCTTTGGCGCCGAGGTCCAAGCTTGGGAGCTCGAACTGGCCGCTTGCATGTTCGGTTTTTAAAGGGAAAACGGTCAAAATCACAGCTTTGCGGCTTTGGCGCAGAGATCAGGGGCTCGAATTGCTGTGCTGGTGTGTGCTGATGTGTGCTGGTGTGTGCTGGTGCCATTTGCATGTCTCAGCGGTTGTCCCGCGCGTTCGAAGTGCTGTGTCAGGGTGACTTTGGCGCATGCCTGCACGCTGGTGCTTTTAGTCCGGCGCTTGCTCAGCGTATTCGAATTTCTGTGCCAAGATGACTTGGTTGCTCAAGGTGCAAAACTGGATCCAGAGAAAGCGCCGGCATTTGAAGCGGGTATGGGGAGAAGAACTATGAAAGACTTGACGCGACGCAAGAAAAGGAAATGAAGAGAAAGAGATGAGAAGAGAAAGGAACACTAAGAAAAATATATTTCCAAGAGACGCGAAGGCAAGATGTTGGCAAAAGAAGCTGGTTTCAAGAGAAGGGGATGTCCAGGGAAAGGTGTCAGGAGAAAGAGGTGTCAAGGATGAGCCAGAAGAAAAGCGGTGCCATTGGAAAATTGGAAAGAGTTGCGAAGGGAAAGAGATGTCAACGGCAAGAAATTCTAAGAAAGGAGAAGCCGAACGAAAAGCATGCCAAGACCTTTGACAAAGACAAGAGCTTTGGTTACTGGTCGGGCTGCGTTTCTATGGGTTAGCCCTCTTCTTCTGTAGGTTTCCTACCTATTGTAAATTTCCGGCAACGGACTTACTCGAGCTCGACTTGTTGATTGATGTTTGCTTCTTTGCTTCTGCCTCTGCAATTTGGTAGAGCGTAACTGGGATGTTTTGCATGACACGGGATGTTTTTAATGACATTGAAAATCGTGGAGATACCACTCTGCTGGACATCATCAGCACCATGCCCTGGCGAGTCTTGGAGCTTCTGAGTTGGCTTGTTGATTGTTTGCTGTGGCGGTTGTATCTAAACAAGCAAGCAAACAATCAAGTTGAACCAATGCGCCTTTGTTTAGATGACAGCCTGAATGTCAATGCAAAGGACAGCGAGTCCAGCGCCCGCCATAGACGAAGGATTGCCCTCTGGATCAAGTATGGCATATGCCCCTTGCTGAGACGAACAAGGAGTTTGGAAAGAAAATTTCTCGATCATTCTGGCATAGTGGTGCTGCTATTGATGTAGCTTGCTGAATTCTAGTTGACCATCCTTTTGCACTTCTAGGGAAGCCTTTCAAACAACGGTGGCAGGTGCCGCTGCGGACTCGAGCAAGTGAGGCAGCGCTGGCGAGCAGAAAGTCTGGTGAGAAGTGAAAGTCAGTCAGATGACAGATGATGACGGAATCGACCGCTTGCATTTGCACCAAGAACATCCAACTGAATGCGGGCAGGTGCAAGGTCCAGCGCAAAGCTCCCGGACCGTACTTCTCAGGATTCTTGTCCAACACAAACCAGCACAGCTCCCGATGCGTGAGCCGTTTGTGTGCAACATGTAGGGCGTTGCGCTGTGGGATGGTGGGGTTATCTTCAAAGATTTCATGGGGTTCAGGGCGCTGTACTGTCATGATGTTATTTTCTGTGGTGCCAGCCTTCTCAAAACTATTACATTACATTGAGCCCCCAGGCCAAAGCCAGTATGTAAAGCAATCAAATAGTGATACTTGCTTCGTTCGTATGTGTACCAACCTGCGTTGGGGAACCCTCAATAGTGAAGAGCAGCGGCAAGCAGCCAACAGAATCCCCACCACGCACCCTCGGAGCGCACAAATCGCGTTTTGCAACCCGGTAGTAGCGCAAAAGGTGGTAGCAAAGAATATTTCCAAAATCGTCCAGTGGGACCAAAAAATCGCACGTGGCGGCGGCTTCGATCTCCTTCGTCAGGATGTATGACATCATGGAGGAACAGTTGTGTTTTGGTAACTCACCGGAGTGATTTGTTGAATTTTTGGCCCACCTCCATATCCGTGTAAATGTTCATGGTTTTCGTTGCGGTCAACTCTTTTTTGGGTGATATGAAACTAGACGACGGTTGGCCCGAGAGCGAACAAGATGTTTTTCAAGCAGCTCTGAGCATGGTAGTTGTAAAAGATAGTCGGTGAACAGTTGGTGAATTTTACATGAGCTATGGAAGGATATGGTGTGAAAAAGGTAAGATTGATCAAGAAGAGAATATTTGGTAAAGGGCATCAGATGACATTTGTCTTGCAACCACACAGAGAAAGAGGGAGGAGAGAGAGAGAGAGAGAGCGAGGGAGGGGGAGAGGGAGAGGGAGAGGGAGAGGGAGAGGGAGAGAATAAAAGGGGGGGGTAGAAAGGAAACTTTCAGAAATGTAATGTGAACAACAAAAGTGCACAGGAGGCTCGGTACCATGAGTCTGCGAATGACATGTGTTATCTCATTTTATTATGGTAATTCCCACACACATTCCGTGAACGCGAAGAAACGCGACGCTTTTATACAGAGACGCTTTTACACACAGAAGCTTTTACACAGACACTTTTACACACAGACGCTTTCACACAGAGACGTTTCTCACGCACACACAGACGTTTTTTCACACGCACACTTTTACACACAGACCCTTTTACACACACATATTGTTTTACACAGAGACGCTTTTACACATAAAGGTTTATACGCACAGAAGCCTTTACACGCAGACACTTTTACAGACCGACATTTTTACACACAGACCCTTTGCACACAGACACGTTTACACGCAGAAGCTTTTACATCTAGACGCTTTTCCACACAGACGCTTTGACCGACATTTTTACACACAGACCCTTTTACACACAGACACGTTTACACGCAGAAGCTTTTACATCTAGACGCTTTTCCACACAGACGCTTTTACACACAGACTATTGTACACACAGACGCTCTTATAGACAAAACCGGTTACACACAGGCGCTTTTACAGGCCGACGCTTTTGCAAGACATACCAACACGAAATGATGCTTTGAAATCGCAGTGAAACGTCGTGGCGCAGAAGTGCCAACCTTAGTGCAAAGCACGGCACTGGACGCATTCCACCAAAAACATTCATCAAAAACCCAGGCCGGTGCCAAACTGGCGCAAGAGTCACCTCAGAAATTGCAGATTGCACGATCATGCATAGTGCGTTCACTCGGACCAAGATGAGATCGTCTGTCATCGAGTTCGATCACACAAACACATGTATATGAACACTTTCCATTTTTTGAACCGCTGGTCGCACTAATGAGAGTTCACACGTTTGTCACGAACAGTCTTTACAGACAAACAACAGTTGGCTACTGATTTAGCACGTTCTCCACGAACAGCTTCTCCAGGCGAACAGTGGTGCAAATTAATTTGTGCCCGCCGCACTCAGTTCCATGTGCCACTCGGCACGCAAACCTTCCAGCTTCCACAAAGCCTCCAAGACATAGGGGCGATTGTGCCAAGGGCGCAAGGCAGGTCTTTTCTCAAGCAGCAACTGGACGGCATCCTCTGCAGAGTAGCTGTAACCCACGACGAGCCAAGCACATAAAGCCCCAGCGCTTCGATTGATGCCTCCAAAGCAATGGAAGAGCACGTGCATGGATTCGTCCCTGGTCACTGCCAGCATGGACTGTTTCCAGAGTTGGCCACAAACAATTTTCCACTGTTCCAAACAAGAAGCTACCAAGTCAGGGATTCGTCCCTCCCAACGGTGCGGCGGCTTCAATGTCGTCCGCAGGCCACTTGTGGTCCGATCCACGGCCAACATTCCGGGCATTTGCCATTTTGCGAAGCTCCAGCACGGAATTTTCTGCCAGGGCATCCTGGAGCCATTCACGACCCCTGGTCACAGCACTGCTACGCAGCTTCTGCAACCGAATTTCCACGGCATTGGACGACGCGGACGACGCGGTCGCATGCTCCATTCGCACGGACAATCCCTTCAGCAAATGAAACAGCGACCACAATGCGTTCACAAACGTCACGGGTGCGCGACTTGAACCAAACAGTTTGCATTCAGAAATCCCGAGACATGCATATCTGTTCGCTAATTCCTAATATTTTTCCTAATATTTAATGCTAATCTTCATGTTCACACTGACCGAAACGCATCTTGTCCAGGAACTATACTTCACTATGTCTGCAAACGTTTGCAACAGATCTCGATGCCATGACATGCTTGATTTCAAAACAATGCCATGACATGCTTGATTTCAAAACAAAAAGTTTGAGTTCAAGACTATACTCTGTCATTGAGCGACACTCGTCCCAACAACAGCATCGTTGTGTGGTCACAACCTTGGTGTAGCGTGCACCATCGAAAGCAGTTGTATTGCTGTAGTCAACGACACAATCAATTGAAATGTCTACACGTGCTCAAGCATCATCACTCTCACTTCAACTAAACCAATCGAGCTCCACACATCTTGGCGCGGATGCACTAGCAAGGATTTTCACCGTCAACCTCTGCCATTTCCATGTTGGACACCAAGAACGAAATCCGAAAAAAAAAACACGGTGCACGGCTACTAGCAAATCCCAAATGAACATCATGACTGCCATCATCACTCTCACTGCAACTAAACGAACCGAGCTCCACACGTCCTAGCACGGATGCACTAGCAAGCATTTTCACCTTCAACCTCTGCCAGTTCCATGTCGTGCGGTAAAACTACACGCAAAAGCTTTTACACACAAACGCTTTTACACATGGTGCTTTTACACATAGACACTTTGACACGCAGACGCTTTGACACACAAAAGCCTTTACACACAAACGCTTTTACACACAGACGCTTTTACACACAGACGCTTTTACACACAGACACTTTTACACGCAGATGCTTTTTACACACGCACACACGCTTTCACACACAAACGCTTTTACACACAGACGCTTTTACACACAGACGCTTTTACACACAGACGCTTTTACACGCAGATGCTTTTTACATACGCACACACGCTTTCACACACAAACGATTTTACACACAGACGCTTTTACACACAGACACTTCAAGACAAAGACGCTTTTACATACAGGCACTTTTACACATCAGACGCTTATACACATAGAGGCTTTTACACACAGACACTTTTACACAAACGAAAGCGTCCATCGCAATTTTTCCTCAGTTTTTTTGACGTCCAACGTCCATTTCGTGCGAAAGGGTTGCGATTGACCAAGTAAAATCGCAATCTTTCCTCAGTTTTTGACGTCCAACATCCATTTCGTGCGTAAGGGCTGCGATGGACACTTCAAAGTCGCAATTTTTCCTCAGTTTTTGACGTCCAACGTCCATTTCGTGCGTAAAGGTTGCGATTGACCAAGTAAAATCGCAATTTTTCGTCAGTTTTTGACGTCCAACGTCCATTTCGTGCGAAAGGGTTGCGATGGACACTTCAAAATCGCAATTTTACCTAGGTTTTGGACGTCCAACGTCCATTTCGTGCGAAAGGGTTGCGATGGACACTTCAAAGTCGCAATTTTTCCTCAGTTTTTGGACGTCCAACGTCCATTTCGTGCGAAAGGGTTGCGATGGACACTTCAAAGTTGCAATTTTACCTAGGTTTTTGACGTCCAACGTCCATTTCGTGCAAAAGGGTTGCGATGGACACTTCAAAATCGCAATTTTACCTAGGTTTTGGACGTCCAACGTCCATTTCGTGTGAAAAGGTTGCGATGGACACTTCAAAATCGCAATTTTACCTAGGTTTTGGACGTCCAACGTCCATTTCGTGCGAAAGGGTTGCGATGGACACTTCAAAATCGCAATTTTACCTAGGTTTTGGACGTCCAACGTCCATTTCGTGTGAAAGGGTTGCGTTTCGTGGCGCTCCGGCGGCACCGGCCCTGGCCTTGAGAGAGAGATAGAAAGAAGAGCGAGAGAAGATCCGCAGATGTGAGGGTGTGAAGATCGCTAAGCGGCGTTCAAAAATAAAATCATAGGGCTTGAGACTGAAATATTTTTGGATTTATTTTTCAAAAGGTGCCTATCATAAGTTTTGAGTAAGTCAGACCCCTATGATTTTATTTTTGGGACATGGGCCAAGACCAAGAACCAACCCCAATGCAGCTGGTGGAGTAGCTTTAGGTTGGGTCCCTTTGGTTTTATTTTTGCGTTTTGCTTACCTTTTTGTTTTGTTGGAACATGTTGGAACACACCTCTTGTGTTGGAATTGGTGGACAAGACATGATGAAAACAATGGCTATCATAAATAAAATCAATGGGCTTGGCCCCGAACTATTTCAAAAAAAAATCAAAAGGTGTCTATCATGAGTTTTGAGTAAGTCAGATCCCTATGATTTTATTTTTCAGACATGGGTCATGTCACTGTCAAGTGCTGTCCAAAAAGCAGATAAAGCGGCTAGTGAAGTAGCTTTAGGTTGGGTCCCTCTGGCTTTTATTTTTGCGTTGTGCTTACCTTTTTTTTCGTGGAACACACATCTCTTGGGTTTGGATATGTTTGGATTCAATATTTGATAGATTTTGGGGAAAATAAAATCCAAGGTTCCCAAGCTTGTAGAATTTTGTTGAGTAGTATGGTTGGAATATATTGAATCTATGCTTTGTTTGGTGGGTCACTATTGTTTGGGCAGAAAAGGATGCAGCCAGAACACGCCACAAAAAAGAAAAAAACTATGGATTGTGATTACCTGATTACACCATTTTGCTTCTACAAAGCTTGAAATGCATATTTAAAAGCTGGGGTTGGATATGTTTGGATTTAATATTTGATAGATTTTGGGGAAAATAACATCCAAGGTTCCCAAGCTTGTAGAATTTTGTTTGGTAGTATGGTTGGAATATATTGAATCTATGCTTTGTTTGTTGGTCACTCTTGTTTGGGCAGAAAAGGATGCAGCCAGAACACGCCACAAAAAAAGAAAAAAAACTATGGATTGTGATTACCTGATTACACCATTCTGCTTCTACAAAGCTTGAAATACATATTTAAAAACTGGGTTTGAATATGTTTGGATTCAATATTTGACAGTTGATAGATTTTGTTGAGATTTCGGATTATTTCACAAACACAGATGCTGACCTGGAACCTTTTAGTTTTATTTCTGGAACATTTTGGATGCTGGCTTGGAACCTTCTTGATTTTATTTCTGGAACCTCTTGATATTATTTTTGCAAACCCCTCAGTTGGATGACTGATGATTTTCTCTTTGCGCAACATGTGGGGTTGAACTCCCCTGATTTCATTTTTGCATTTTGGGGGTCAGTAGCCTGGGTACCTATGATTTAATTTTATTTTTCAGGGGTTCAACCCCATCTGGGTGCACCACAAGGGGATTGTGAAGATGTAGATCTGCAGGTGTGAGGGTGTGAAGATGTAGATCTGCAGGTGTGAGGGTGTGAAGATCTAGATCTGCAGATGTGAAGGTGTGAAGATGTAGATCTGAAGATGTAGATCTGCAGATGTGAGGGTGTGAAGATGTAGATCTGCAGGTGTGAAGGTGTGAAGATGTAGATCGGCAGATGTGAGGGTGTGAAGATGTAGATCTGCAGGTGTGAGGGTGTGAAGATCTAGATCTGCAGGTGTGAGGGTGTGAAGATGTAGATCTGCAGATATGAGGGTGTGAAGATGTAGATCTGCAGATGTGAGGGTGAGAAGATGTAGATCTGCAGATGTGAAGGTGTGAAGATGTGGATCTGGAGGTGTGAAGGTGTGAAGATGTAGATCAGCAGATGTGAAGGTGTGAAGATGTAGTATAAATTCTGCGGTTTTACGAAGAACCCTTCGCAGGCGCTCTCGGGAAAAACGCAGCAGCGTAGCGTGTCGCGCAGCATTTGTGTCAGCGCAAGAAACGTCACAAAAGGAAGTTTAAACGTATACATCATGTCGCGTATGTGCAAGCGCAGGTGAAACATGACAACGCTGCAGACTATACACGCGGCCTGTGTGCCAGCGAAGAAGAAATGACACAACGTACATCAAGAAGAGCGTCTGCATCCAACAAGGCTGCACCATCGACCCCATGATCAGTGTAGGCAGATACTAGAAGTCCTTGCAACTTTGAATTGAGCGCGTTCCGCTTCCAGTCCTTCGACAAAATCATGCCAAAACAGTCAGGCAGCACTTCCGTTGATTAGAATTTTGATTCTTGGCCCAAGTTAACCAATGGAGGGAGGATCTGCAAATAAACCCTTGGCGCATGTCGCCCGGGACAAGCAAACGCATTGTAGCAACATGCGCGTGATTGCGTGTGTGTGCTTGGCATGACGTGCTTTGTGCTGTCCCTTTTTTGAAGTCCTTATTCAATAGTTTGTGTCCGGTATAAGTGGATTGGCAGCTGCAAGCTGAATTCGTCTCAAGACACGTGCAAAAGTTCAATTGTGTTCCTAAATGCACATCATTTGTCCACGTACAAGAATTGATTTGAGCTCCAGGGGTGACAAGAGGTCACGTGCATACAGCTAAAATTTTGACAGAACTCTTAAGAACTCAGTTTCCACATGTTTCGACGCTATGGCTGTGTTGGAAAAATATACCTGAAGTTGGACAGAATCCTGTAGACAGTGGCCAGTTGACCTAGAAAAATCATGAAAAATCAGATGTTTGCCAGCCTTGCCCTTGAAAGGAAAGTACCGCATTACAAGATTCGGATCAGAAGAGCTTTCAGCCGGGCCAGAATGCTGCATGCGCACCATCATACACACCACCTTCACAATGGACCCGTAGTGCTTTTGCTGCAGCTAGTCGTGATTCATTACGCGTCGTTTTTGTTTAATTTCCCCAGCCGTTTTGCCAGAAAAAGAAGCGTTGCCAGCGCAGCCGCAGACGAAGGTGTTGGGGGAGACACCCGTCGTGGCACCAACTATTGTGCATATCAAAGTGCCAGATGTGGCGGCGAGTCCAGCTTTGGCCTTAGCCTTAGTCAGTGATGGCGTTGGTGGCAGAGATCACAACTGAATAGAGAGGATCCTTTTGTCATTCCTCCCTGATCATATGTTTGTTTCCTTGTTTGCTTGCTTGATTTGATTTGATTCGGCTCAATTTGATTTGATTTGATGTGATTGGGTTGGATTTGTTTTGTTTGTTTGCTTGTGTAGCTTCAGGAGCAAACAGGTCAGTCCAAGAAGCAAGTTGGAACACACGAGGTTTCCGTAGGGCAGCGCAGGCACACGAAGTCTCAGCGCCTTTTCAGTCGCAGCTATTGCTCAGCGTTGGTTCCCACCCCTTTGCTGTCATCGGGCATTGGGCCCAAAGCAGCATCGGTGGATATACCTTGGTGAACCTTAGAATATCTTAGAATGAAAGATAATGAAATGCCTGCAGGTCAGGAGAGGTGGTTTCAGTTGCATGCCACAGATCTATGCAAATGACACGGGGTAAGCTTTAGACAAAAGAAAGTCAACAGCCCATGTCTTTGCTCTTTCCATGATCTTTGACCAAGGAAATTCGGGCACAGCAAGAAAAGAAAATGCCGCTCCTACTAGCGCCCAGTGAAGGCTCGATCTCTCATCATGCGCAGGTCGCCTGCAGCACAATGCTCACCATGCAGCACCTCATAGATTGGAGTGCAGTTTTCAGCGTTAGGATTGGAAATTCAGGGTCCACATGCATGCCATTCAGCTCCATCTAGCTTCTCTTGAACGAGCACTGTATCGCCCAGGGGACAAGGAACTTGATGGTTGGCAATCAGGCTTCGCAGTCGATCCACTTTGGCATTGGCAGCGCGGTTTTGATTGATCTGGTAGGCCATCATGATCGCCATCACATTTGCTGAACGCCTTTCAGCATCTAGTAGCACTCGCATACTTCGAAGACCTTGGGATTCTTCTCGGAATCGCTGGGTCTCTTCTTCATGTCAGTCATGTCGAAGTGCCAATCTATCGAGGTCAGCGTGTGCAGCATCCAGTTGTGCAGCTTGTCGCACACGTTCAGCTCGAGCTCCAAGTCCGCGACCCACGCCGAAGGCTAAAAGGAGGAGGAGCATGACCAAAATGGTCAGGGGATTCCAAATTCTCCATCGTCCATATTCATGGTCCAAGGGCTCATGCATCGCGGAGGCAGCTGGCAGCATTGCGAAGACCGTCAGGACATACACAATGGCCTTCATGTTGGAGACAACACCAGCATAGGCCTCTACAGGGTCATAGCTTTCGGCAGCCACGTTCGCATCTTCATCAACATCGCACTCTTCAAACATGTTGGTGTGAGGTGGTGGCTGAGTCGCTGTGAGTTGAGTTGAAGCGGTATGTTGTGTTTTGATTCTCTGTGATTCCTTCTTCTTCGGCTCTGCAACTCTGTTCTTCTGGCTTCACGTTCAGCAGCAGTTTTCTTCTTTGCGCTGACATACTGTGGGTCCCAAACCGGTTTCAGCTTGTGGTACCAGATGCGTTCGGCTAGCAGGGTTCTGGTGCTCATTTTTGTCAGGCCGCAGGCATACTGTTTCTGGCTGCTAACCCATTTCAAGCACCCACCCAAAGAAACTAGTTGTTCACGGGCAACTCTGATTTCCCAGCTAGTGCGCATGTCCGCAGCTGAGGAACCGGCCAAACTCCCTGTGGTAGGAGTCAAACAATGCCTTTGCGTCTGTGATGAGGCATGGCTTCAGTGCGGAAGCCTCATCCAAGCAGTCTCGAAGTCGCTCGGTTGGTGGAAGCATGGAGGCCCAAAAGCGGCAGATGTATTCTGCAATGTCAGCTGGCTGACCACAGGCTTGGGCTTCAGCACTGAGGCTTGAAACTTCTCCACTCAAGGATATGATAACTGCTCTCATCCTTGAAGATCTCATCAGTGGTCTTGAAGGCCAGGCAGCCACCTTGCGAAGTATGATCCTCGCGAACACCATGAGCAGCATCAAACATGATGTAAAGGACGCAGGCCATCAAGGCTACTGATGGGCAAAGGTTCATAGCGCAGCCGTAGATCCAAGTTCTCCTTGGCAAACTTCGAAAGCTGGTTGGCCTCAATGATTGCCTTCAACTTGTTGGTCTATTGTTGACCACTGATCAAACTTGCACTGCATTGGACATGTGGTGCTGTTTGGACGGCAGGCCATTGAATGGAACCAAGTAGAGCACGTAGTTGAGACATGTCGTGCTCGTTCATGACATCTTCAGAGCTGCGCCCTTTGTGGATGGTGACAGGCTTCTCCTTTCTCCAGTATTCTTCTTGATGTATGGACCAGGCATAGTCCTTGCGCTCTAGCTACACGCCGCAGTACTCAAGAACTTGTGCATCATCTTGCCAAGTTCGAAAACTGAACGTTTCCCTCAACTGGTTCTCGGCTTGCTGATACTTTGCAGATGAAGGGTCACCAGCGGCCAGCATGTCGTCAACATGCAGTACGAGAAGTCCAACAAGCTTTGGCGCATCATCGCTGGCTGCAGGATCATCAAAAGTCAAAAAGCATAAAGCAGCAAAGGTCAAGTTGGTGACGTTTCCACTTGAGGCTTTCCAAACGTCTCAGCGCTTCCAAGTACCATCTTGGAGCGTCTATCTGTCCATACACTGGTTTTCTCAGGTACATTCTGAAATTCTGGTCTCTGGAGGAGCGCCCAAAATTTCTAGAGCTTGAGCAGGAAGCTTCAGCCACAGGGAGCGCTGTTGTGGCAGCCCTTGCAAGAAGGCTGTTGCTACGTCAGCAGCCCATGCTTTCTCCAGCGAGGGCAACTTGAAACGGACAAAAGCATTGAGCGGCTCAATCTGCTTGTAGTAGGGCTGGCTGTTGTTAGCTCTCCATTCAAAGCATCCACATCATTGAAGCCCCTCACCACCAGTCTCGCCTTCGCTCGAGGCGTTCTATCTTCGTTCTTACTCCATTTGAGTAAAATACGACTTGTGAGGGTGCGTTCAGGAACTGCCTCGATCAGCAGCAATTGAAATTCCCAGACACCACACTCAAAGAAGCTGCGATGTTTTTTGACCTGTGCTTAGTAGGAGAGCTCTTTCTCCGCCTGGGTCAGGTTCTTCTCAGAAACTTCGCCCTTGGCTTTGTCGTAGTCACGGCAGAAAGCTCTTTTCTGCTGAACTTTGGTGTCCTGGGCAATCTTCTTGGCACTGCTGCGTTGGTCGCAGGCTGTCATTCCAAGCTCCTTTCTGGTTTCGGCATCTATCTGAAAAACAGTAACTCCATGCCATTGAGTGGGCAGTTGGTGCTTCTTCAAATCCCTTGCGTAGTGCTGACAGTTCTTGAAGTCGTCAGTGAAGGAGGCAATTTGTCCATCCATGGTTCAAAGGACAGTCACACGAATGCTTTCAAGCTTGTCCACAGGGATTGGAAGATCTTTAAGACCAGCGGGGTCAAACAAGGTTTTTACGTGGATGCACATGGTGTCGCAACAGGCATCCACTTTTGATCTCCGAAAATCTCGGGTTCACAGCACCTTGCCGCAGCTTGATCAACCACTACCTGCTCAAACAACTTCTTCTTTGCCACAATCATGTCAACCTGCACAGCCTGCAGGTGAGACCTTTCAACAGCGACGAGATCGCCTTGATCACCAAGAGACCCTTCCAACCCTCTTTGCCCCAAATCACCAACAACATCGACAACAAGATGGACCGTATGTGCGTCCCAACACTGAAGATGACCTGCCATCGTTGCAAATGTCTTCGACCTGGACTTCCTGGTGATTGGCAATTTCGGCCTGAAACTGGTTTCTTTGGGAGGAATTGGAGTTAAAGTTGTTGGCATAGTGGATGTAGCCATTGATTGGAGTTGGTGGAAATTGCTCAGCCGAAGGCTCATCAAGGAACTGGTCAATGTGAAAGTTATCACTTGGCTCCGGCACTGGAACTTCATGTGGTGCTCCAGTCTCATTGGCTGCAATTGGATCAGCCAGCACGCCACGAAGTCCAGGGGCGTGAGGTTCAGGTGGAACTGGAACTTCATCATCGTCAGCAATTGATGACTCGTAGCTGACAGAAGGGGCCAGAGACAAGTCCAGGGGTCTCCTCTTGGCCTCTTGTTCCACATTGGAGCCGTGAGACATCATCTCTTCATCTTCCTCCACATCAACGATGAGCTGCTCGTTCACGCGGTTCAAGTCCAGGTACCGAGTGACACCACGTGACTTCATTTGGCGAAGCACGTCCTTGGCCTCTTGCAAATTGTCAATGGTGTTCACAGCCATCGCATTGAAGTCAGGTCTGCAGTGATGTGGAGCACAGCGGATGAGCTGAGTCTTGTAGCAAATCCAGTATGTTGAGACATTGCCAGCTTCATTGTTTTCCACCATGAGGACTTTTGCAGGTCCCTTCCAACACATTTTGACCAAGTCGGTTCGCTGTGCATCTCTGCAAGAGAAACAAGTCTGGCCAACTGCAAGCCGTATGTTGTCACCAGCATAGCTACGAAGCAAAGCTCTCCGAAGTCGCTGATCTGTGTCGGCTTGAAGGATTGCCGTCTTTGCTGCATTTCTCCTTTGCAATGCTTGTTCAAAGGAGGCGCGGCCAGACAGGTGAACTGGCGTGATCTGGTCAGAGATCAAGAGGGTGCCAGCTGTTGGTTGTTACCCAAGTAGCCATTGTGCACGGCTAAACCCAGAAACAGTGGGTTGAGCTTTGAGCTGAGGGAGGATGTACGTCAAGGCCGTTCGAATTCCATCCAGACCATGTAAGTCTAAGTCCATCATGTACACCTCAATGCTTTTCCTCAGAACAGCATGACATCGCCCAACCAAACTCAATCTGGCATGGGCTTCTCCAGGGGCAACTTCATGATTAATGGACAAAGCATCAGTCCATTCGCCCATTTTGTCCCTGACCATGCACGTCCTTCGTCAGTGATCAGCTTGGCAGGAGACCAAAGTGTGCGACCCATGACCGCTTGAATCCAGTGATGAAGTCTTCAGTCCTTTCCTTGCGCAGCAAAGTTGCAGTCTGGTACTTGGTGGCCATGTCAATGTTGGAGA